CATCAAACCTCAGAAATACACTTTTCCCAAAAGATTTCCACAATTTTGGCCACTACCGTATGTTGACTCTGTGATTGCTCCAGACTTGTCATAACGCAGACAACTCAACCTTTCTACAGCATTAATGAAAACACATCCTTCCTAAGAACCTTCATCCTGACATGCTGGTTTTGTAGATGCAGGGATGTTTCTTCTCAACGATGAAACAGTTTATCTTGTTAGGTCCTCACGAGAATCATATTATCTTTTTCCTGGGAAATTTTTTTCACTGAACATGAGAAGGAATAGAGTTGAGGATTATCAAACCTTCTCATTGACTTCAGCCCAACTTTCTAAGAGTATTGAAAACAATGTCATTATTTTTTTTGGAGGAAGTCAACAAAAGTTAGCAGCCTGCAAAAATTAGATGGTTTGCTGGGGTTTATACAACAATAAAGTGAAGAGCGCAGATCCTTCTGCAGGTGCCCATTGCATGGTGATAGAGGACAGAGAAGAATTAAATGAGCATTCTGAATCCCTTCGTCTACCCTACCTTGCCTGAAATTTCTTCCCTCTCATAGAGATTAAGCAAAAAGTAATATTTGCTGTTCATATCTCAACTCAGGGCTGTTTGAAACTTGCAAGTAGCACATTTTATTCCCCCCTCCTACTATAGATAGTTTTGTTTCCAGATTAAAATAACTCACAATGATTCTAAGTTAACCGTAGAATCATAGATCATAGGGCTGGTAGGGACCTGTGGAGGTCTTCTAGTCCAACCCCCTGTCCAAGGCAGGAGAATGTATAGACAACATGTATATCCCCAGACAAACACTATCAGTTTAACCATTTCACCTACAAACGCCTATATTATTTCACACCGTTTTTAGCCCAATTCTTGATAGAAGAAGATTCTTGTTCTTAGATTGAAATGGAAAAAAGTAGATGAGGAAGCTAAGGTGCATAAAAAGTCTAAAACTTTCTAACAGCCCTATTTCCTTCAAAATCAAGATTGTTGGTTAAGTATAGAATAGCTGAAGCAAAAGAATGTGTGGTTAGGTGTCTCCTAACCTGGCTTTCTTTTGACATTACATGGAATTAATTACAGTTCTCAAATGCATGTTGGATACCAACATAATGAGCTAGAAGTATCTGAGTTGGGACCTACAGCTCAGTTTTGATGAAGTATTGTTAGAAAGCTGCCTTCAAAGTTATCTTTCCGTTTTTACCCAACAAAAGATGGAAACAAACATTTTTGAACAGATTGTGGCTAAAGGTGACTGACAGGCAAAGTGTAGATTGATTTGATTTTAGGACCCGACTCCTAATTTTTCTCCAAGTCAAATAAATCCCTTCCCTTCCCACTCGGCAGAAACATTTACAATTCCATAATTTTGGCACCGCTTGGTTACGAAGAGGGACCCCCCCCCCCGACAGCTGAAATGCAATTTTCGGTTACATTTGGCATTATCGAGACACGTTCTTTCAGACTCCGGATTTCTAAATAACATCATGTTGGTCTAAGAGTGGAGAAAGAGAAGTTTGATTTCGCCAATGTTCTTCCACAAGATTAAACATTGGAAAATTAATCAGCAATGATTAGGCAAGAGAAAAGGTTAAGGTTTGCTAGACGAAGAAAAAGAGGAAAAAGTCATGGAAAATCTTGACAAAATTGCTACGGAGAAGGAAAGATTAGAAAGATAAATGGACTTACCAGTGACGGTTAATTGGGTTCCACCTCCGAAGACGAACCACAGTGACATATACCCATACAAAAACCTGCCCTCATTTCACAACATTTCACTGAAGATGGATCCCAACTTGGACAATTACTGGGCTCCATAAAATGTCAGAATGAATTGCAGCCATTATTATATCCTGGAAGAACAAAAATGGTTTGGTGTAAGTGGTTCATGCTTGGACATCACTGAAGCCATTCATGGTCAAGAAGATCATTCAGGACAATCCAATGGATACGATCCACTGATAGGTGAAGAAAACAGAGCCATCATTCCTTTTACATTGAATTATACAGAAGAGTCACAAAATAGCTTCTAGTGATATAGCCAGTTGCAGAAGACTGAGAAGTGTTTTGGGTAGGCAGAATATTGTCTAAATTGAAGTGGTTTCTTATAAATTAAACCTAAGGCACTATGCTCGTTCTTTGGGTGTAAGGACCTCCCTGATTACCTGTAAGGCAACTCTTCCAGAAACGTATTTTAATTAACCATGTAATGAACACCTTGGCTGTCCATGGAAGGTTACACTTGGGTTTTTGTTAGCTAGAATTCAAGGGACATAATTTCCACCAAGAGCAGAATTTTCAACTGGAATTCATGGAATGGACCAACCTTTGCATTCCTTCTGTGGGTCGTTCCTTTTTGTGTGTTTATTTGTAAGCTTCTTTTTGTCTTCTGATGGCCTTAGTTCTACAGGTGCTGAAATATCAGTTCCATAGTTGTGCATGGGACAGGCTATTGGGAATTAATTTATTTCTGATTACAAGTTATGATTATATTTTATTTATTTAAAACATGTATATAGCCACCCATCTTGTGGTTCCCATTTGATGTATCTACTCCATCTGAGTTCCATCTGTTTCAAGACAAACAGGTTTTGGTTATGCTTAGGTCAACATCCATAGATTCACGCTGATCTTCTACAATGGATCTTATATGAACCGGCACTGAAAGCTCTGAAAGAAATGAAGTTCATGGAATTCCGAAGGTGCTTTTTCAAGAGGCAAGTGGACTTTCTGGTTTTTCTTCAAAGACGTTTCTTTTAGAGCTGAAGAAGCTTCTTGGATGAGAAGTGAATCGTCTTCCAAGAAAAATCAGAAAGTCCAGTTGCCTCTTGAAAAAGCATCTTTGGGACAACCACAGCCTGGATGATGGAGAATCTCCATAGACAAGTTCATGGAACGATAACAAGGGGTGTCACTGATCAACGATAATTATTGACCAGAGTAGTGGACACAGGTAGTATTGACCAACATGTTGTTGTGATCCTAACTGGAGAAGATGGTACTTCTCCATCAGCTTTGTCTAGTAGATCTTAGGAAGAATGAATGAAATCATGGAAATGCTTTGGGTAAAGCTAAAGAAAAGCTTGATGGCCCTTGATCCATTTCATAATTCGATTGAGAAGAGGTCATCGTATGGAATGCTGTTCCTTGAGAACCTTGTGGTCTATCCCTTGGCATGAATCAATCCTCCTCCCAACCTAGACATCTCACTTGTGAAATCTTTTCTTTAAACTTTGTTATGAAGAGGGATAGTTGTACATTGGGGGGCTGCCTCATTGGCGTTAAAAGCCAATGGTAGGCTGGTTTGGAAACACCTACAACCTGCCTTTATAGACTTTGTTGTTCCTAGTCCTCTGAAGGAAGGATTCATATCAACGTTTTTGTGTCTTCCAAGTCCAAAACAACGCCATATTCCAGGTGTACCTCTCTGAGGTGCAAAGAGTTTGGTATAGACACGAGAGGTCCAAGATGTTCTAGATGTTCTTCTAGATCTGAAAAAGTAGGATTACCTTCAGCCCAGTGCTAACCTACAAATAGTTCCTGGTTGGTTATCCTAGACCTCAAAGTTTTGGATGTGATCTAAACATGATCTATCGTTGTTTCTTCCCCCTTTGAGATATGTTGGGTCTGCAATTTCCATGATCCCAAATATACCATGACCACTTTAACATACTCCAATATAAGGAAGACACTTATGAGAAATGTCACATTCCAAGCACAATAATGCTATCCTCATGTTCATCACGTCCTGAGCAACAGTGGTAGAGTGTGAGTTTTAATCTTGGAATATTTTTCCCCCCAGATCAGGTAATACAACTGTCTCTTTGTGTCTAAAAAAACCTTAACCATCTGAAGAGAAAGATGGAACAGTGTGGGAAATTTAATTTCTGCTGGTTTCATGGACACAGAGAGAAGCCAAAATCTGTAGGTGGAAAGTCAAAAGTTTTAATTCAACCCTATCTGGTCTCATATATGATTTAAGAAGTCTACCACTTGAAAACTTTGAAAGGGATACCTTTGCTGGTAGTAAGGTCTACAATTTGTCTTTTCTCATCTTGAATCTGAAGAGCCAAGGATTATAGGATGCTGGTAGAATAAAACATTGGTTTTTTTTAATCCATCAGGATTACATATTTATAGGAAAAGTGGTAATATAAAGCCCAGTGAGACAAGTTGGGTCTTGAAGCTGGCTCTTTCCTGATCAAAGATTCATTTTGAATTGAATTTTTAGCAATAGATTTACCCTATACTAAAGCAACGGAAAATGTAAATGGAACTGGAAATTACATTTCATACTGTCTTACGTGGGAGGGATTTTGGACTTTAGAAGGGCCTTATTAACACAGAAATGGAAATCGAAACATCAACATTTATGTTAGTTTAGAGCAGTGGTGGGTTTCAATTTTTTTTTTACTATCAGTTCTGTGGGTGTGGCTTGGTGGGCATGGCAGGGGAAGGATACTGTAAAATCTCCATTCCCAGCACACTCCAGGGGAAGGTTACTGCAAAATCCCCATTTTCCTCCCGATCAACTGGGACTCGGGAGGCAGAGAATAGATGGGGGCGGGGCCAGTCAGAGGTGATATTTACCGGTTCTCCAAACTACTCAAAATTTCCGCTACCGATTCTCCAGAACTGGTCAGAACCTGCTGAAACCCACCTCTCTGGTTTAGACCCTGGTTGGAGATGGTGAAAGCATCAACAATCTGCTAGTTTCACCCCATACATTCCCAAGTCTACTGTCCTCTTGTTTGAAGATAAATGTAATACACTATCATTTGGAACAAAAGGAGGGAATAACATGTGCGAGTGGATAAATGTATACAAACATCACAGCATCTGATGCTTGATGCAACCTTTCTTCAATGCCAAGGGATTCAGCTCTTGTGTCGGAGCTGGCTGATACCTCCAAAGAACAGAATTGTGTTGAAATCACAAAGCTTTGTCATCCCACAACTTCCCTTCTTCATAAATTTGATAAAAACAATTGCACCAATGAAATAGATTCATCTTTATTTATATGCTGACAGTAAAAATCTAACAGATCAAGTGGGGGATCGATTTGAAGGACGAAGGCATGGAGGGGATACAAACAGTGTAACTACATGGGATAGAAAGAGATGTTCTTGATCAAGCTAAGCTTAGGAAAGAATGAATGAGAGCCCAGGAGAAGGGACTCTATTCTCCCGCCTGAATGGCAGGAAAGGACACAAGTTGGATTTAGCAACTTCCAGGTCCTGAAAAGCTTAACTTAGGAAAGAATGAATGAGAAAAGGGACTCTTTCCTCCTGTCTGTGGTCAGGAGAAGGCTCATGACGGAGTTAACAACTTCCAGATCCCGTAAGAGCCTTTGTAAAGGTATTTCCATTATGTATCACTTCACAGACGTACGTATGGTCTCCATAGTCGGAATCACTCCTGGTCAGGTAACTGCTGGCAAGGTATTTGTCACCCTGCTTGGTGGCTTTGGTTGTCTCCACTCCAGAGGTGGTCTCTGTACCATCAACCTTCCATTTCAGGGTGAAAGCAGGTGGGTGAAAGCCACTTAGGAGACATACCAGAGTGGCCTTCTTCTGGGTTTTGATCTCTTGCTCAGAAGGAGCAAAGACTTGGACTGAAGGAGATACTGGATCCTGACCTGGAAGAGAAGAAGATCTCATGAGGTTCTACATAGCATCTTAAAACTTCAACGCAACATTAAAAGAGTAACTAGATGGATAAACGTATAGATCGTTTTCCTCATGAAGACTGTGGGGGAGGGAGTGGGAAAAATATCAAGGCAAAATTTCTCAGAATAGTATTTGATCTCCCATTGTAGCAGTCCACCTACCAATTCTTTTAGTTCCTTCTATGAAACACCAAGACAGGTCTCTCACCAGAAATTCTATGGGTTTTACATCAGAGTAATATTTCCTGCCTGGTCCCACTTAAGAATTACTACATGTATCTGCTGTTGAGTTACTTTTCACATCTATTTCTCTTACAAGAACATTTGGAAGAGCAATAACTTTCTGATTATCTTGAATCTTGCTTGAGAAGTAATTCATTTTTTTCTTTGCATTTTGTAGAAGTCAGAGAAGACTGACTTCTACAAACCGAACATCTGGGCCACAGCATGCTTTAGGGAAAGGACCTGAGTTTTAACAATTATGAATTATAATTGTTTAACTAATTTTTTTCTCTACCACGCCTGGAGAAAGATTAAGTGCCTTCTGTATATTCAGATCCTCACTCCCCTGCTGGTTTCTCTCCTTGAGTGTGTGAGTTTCAGAGAGAGAGAAAGAGAAATAAATTATTTTTAGTTCCTGAATGCAGTGATGTTCCTTCTTCATAGTGGAACAGTCGATCACATGACCTCCTTTCCAAAAACATGAATCTTTTTCCTGGAAAACACATTTTTGTACTGTATAAGAGAAATAAAGGGTAGAAATAGAGTTTCATGGCAAGCATACCTCTCTTGGATGTCAACAGAACTTTCTAAGAGCATTTAAACTCAATGTATGGTCCAATCTCCTAACCCAGATTTCTTTTGATGTTTTTTACAAAACGTTTTAGAGGTCTCCAATTTATGTTGGATTCCAACTTGATGAGAGACGAGTTAAAAACTCATTGTGAGATGGTTCCCATAGCCCAGTATTGATGAAACGAACTTCTGATCTCACTTCTGATCTTTCAATTGATAAAAGGTTACTTATTTTCCTCACTCAGTCAATCAATTCCTTAAAGATCCTTCTCAAATTACACTTTGAAAAGAAATATTTAGGAGTTAAATTTTCTATCACTTGTTTAAGACATACAGGAGAAAAAGAGAGAATTCTGAACATCTGGCAAAGAGATAACCTGAAACGTTGGAGTCCATTGCTTGCTTATTATATTATTTGTTTGAGATAAATGGTTTGAATTGAAAGGCTTATTCCCAAGGTTTAAATGTTTAGTGGAAGAAACAAGAATTATGTTTTGATAGGAAGGTGGTTGATCTTATTAGTTTGGACAAAATAGGAAAAGATAATTTGACCAAACTCTCGTAGAACTTGCTGAAGTGAAAGTTGGATAGGCAATCATTCCACCACAAGGGATCAATGCCACTTCTGTTTCCTTCACAATCACACCACATTCATTCACCACTTTGAGCCTCCGCCAACTGAGAAATTGATGGTTCAATCACATATCCATTTCTGCAAACTTGAGCCAAAGAGAGATGGGAATGTGCCTGGTATCTCCCCGAATCCATATGCTATTTATTTAATATCACACATCATATCCATATGGTATCTCTTATGCATAGAATCTGAGAGTTAACTTTGTGGCATGGAATATTTTTCTGAAAGGCGGATAATTTGGACAATCACCATCGTAGCTCTAAATCTAACCCGAGATCTAATGTTAGATCCTGCTGCAGATCCCCTTTCAATCCAAGGGAGATCACTGACCAGAGTCCATTGGAGTTGGGCGGCTAGAGTAAACTTGAACAAATTATGTTAAGAGCCTGGTGATGCAGCAGACTAATAGCCTGTTATTATCATTCAGCTGCCTGCAATTACTGCTAGTACGAATCTCCCCAGGCTCAGGGTTGACTCAGCCTTCCATCCTTTCTAAGGTAGGTAAATTGAGGACCCAGTTTGTGGGGGCAATAAGCTGACTTTGTATAAATATACAAAAGTATGAAGGCTATTGCTTAACGCATTGTAAGCCGCCCTGAGTCTCCGGAGAAGGGCGGCATATAAATCAAATTAAAAAATAAATAAATAAAACAAGAAAACCTCAAGATATGAAGTGCAGATTTGACTCCCTACATGGACTGAGTTTGGAATGAATGATGGACTGTTGATCAAACATGCCAACATTCCTATGCAATTTTGATAAGGTTAGTTTTAAAAAAATGTCCCCAATACTTTTGAATTGCTTCTGTCTTATCTCTCAATGGCTTTAAGAAGATGGAATGTTTTGATTACCAAACAATCAAGCAACGTATCCTATTGATAATATAGCATATCATACTTTGGCTTACTTAATTCTACCTGGAAAATCGAACCACACAATGACAATATCAAATTTTCAGTCAACCTCATTCAGTTCCGTTAAAGAGATTATAATACAAATGAATCTCTCGGTTTTTCTTTAACCCCAAGAATAGTTACTCCTGAGTGTAAAAGTAGCCATAAGTTGGATTTCTCAAGATCTCATTGAACCTGATCATGAAAATCAAAGTAATACCTGTGAACAGCAAAAATGAAATAACATAGATTTAAATTAACGTGCCCTGTCTGGTCTCAATGTTCAGTTCTTCTGGAAAAACATCACCATGGATGGATCAAAAGGAACCATAAGATCAAATCGCCCGAAGTCAAAGTAGGTAAAGACGGGATAAAAGATGGAAAAATGAAAATACCACATGCAGGAAGAGAGATTTGAGATCAATTCATTGACTTACCTGTGACAGTTAGCTGGGTTCCTCCTCCGAAGACATACCACAGTGATGCACAGCTATACAAAAACTTGGGGTCATTTCATAGGAAAAAAAGTCACAGAGATTTTAAAGAGAGAAAATCCTAGACCTCTAATTTCCTATTAGAACAGGACAGGAGATCAAAGAACAGCTGATGTCCTTGCCGTGGTTATTTCAATTTCCTTAAATCCCATGGAGTGCCTTTTGGAAGAGAAGCCAATAGTCCATGTTCAGAGTAGTAAAAGAAGGGCCCGTTGGAGTTTTATAAAGATCTCAAGAAGTTCCATTCTTGAAATGATTGCTTTCTGGATACAGATGGTAGATGAGAACCTTTATTTCTTCAAGATTGAGTGATATGAAAGGAGTTCAAGTGTTGGTAGCATTTCCAGTTTAGCAAATATAAACTATGTTGAAGAAGTCTGACAAGTAGTTACTTTGTAGGTACTGAAGTTTTGTCTATGCTCTAATTGTTTTTGATGAAAAGCCAATGTACTAGATCTGTTGAGTAGATGTGTTGAGGAGATCCACCAACATGGACCAGTTTTCTGATTCTAAATGTCCTTGATCTTGAAATTATGCAGGATAGATAGCTTTCAATTTCACAGGACACCTTATATGTAGAACATTTCCAAGAAGGCCCTGGACCATGGGTGATGGCTGCTGGGATTCAGATTCTACCGGCTGAATTTCTAATAAGGACAACTGAGATTTTTCAGGATGAGTTACAATTCATTCAATTCTCTTGAATGAGTGGAAATGCAACTTTTGAGCCACTGCAGTTGGACTTGAATTGATTCATAGATGTGAAAAGAATCTGGGATGCTGAGGTGGTTCCTTAAATGTTGTTTCCTTTTTTCCTTTTTTTTATTTCACCCTGAGAAAATGAGGAATTTACTCTTAAGAATGACAGAAAAGCATCTTGTGAACACTTAAGCAAGTTCAACCTGGCCAATGGAAGATAGCTTTGAATGTGCAACTGACCCTTGGAAACCATTAACCTGGTCTCTGCATGTAGGTTTCCTAGCTAGATTCTGAGCTAATGACAGTTAATTGATATCCTGGTCTTCCGTATGATGTTTGGGTATGTTTTTCCTCAAACCTGGAGATTGAATCTCTGAAAACATATGAAGAACGGTTGCAGGAACTGGATATGTCTAGTTTGATGAAAAGAAGGACTAGGGGAGACTTGGTAGCAGCCTTCCAATATCTCAGGGGCTTCCACAAAGAAGAGGGAGTCAAACTATTCTCCAAAGCACCTGAAGGCAGGACAAGAAGCAATGGGTGGAAACTAATCAAGGAGAGAAGCAACTTAGAACTAAGGAGAAATTTCCTGACAGTTAGAACAATTATTCAGTGGAACAAATCACCTTCAGAAGTTGTAAATGCTCCAACACTGGAAGTTTTTAAGAAGATATTGGATAACCATTTATCTGAAGTGGTGTAGCGTTTCCTGCCTGGGCAAGGGGTTGAACTAGAAGATCTCTAAGGTCCCTTCAAACTCTGTTATTCTAAAAGTGTCCTCTGGACTTGAACTGTCAACAGAGCTTAAATACCAATTTTTGAACCCAATAAACTCCAGTCAGGATGAAGAAATGGAAGTATTCTTATTAAATGACCAACATCCAGGTGTTTTGAATCCAATGGCCAAATATTGACTGCTAGTCTTGCTTGAATCCTTCCGTGAATTGTTAACTTTATAGGATTTCTTCCTTTTACAGATGTTTCTAATGCCACTTTTTACATGAATTAATGGTGTACTGTATTTTTACACTTTATAACTTGAGAGAGATTAGACAGATTGTCTGATAGATAATAGATGATAGATAGATAGAAATAGAGATAGATAGATAGAAAGATAGATGGATGGATGGATAGATAGATTGACAGATAGATAGATAAATAGATAGATAGATATTATATATAGAGAGGGAGATAGGTAGAAGAAAGATGATAGATAGAGAGATAGATAGATGATAGATAGATAAAAATAGAGATAGATAGAAAAACAGATAGATAGGTGATATAGATAGATAGATAGATAGATAGATAGATAGATAGATAGATTGTATAGGATTGAAATGTCCCATTCCACCTAATCCTAAATTCATATCAGCTGGAGGACTGTTTAGAATTATTGGAAGAAACTCTATGATCCCATATCCTCCCAAATCTGCTAGCATTACTACTAAAAAACCAAGGCATTTTCATTTCGAATTGAGAAGAATTCATGTGTGAATTTGATGTAACACCCATGGAGGGAATCCAAAACCCAATGATACTTCTTGATATCCCCAAGAGAATCAGACCTGATATTTTTCCTCCGTTAAATGGGGTTAACTGTGTGAAATAGGATCTTGGAAAGAGACCATTTTCCCCCCAAGATAGGAAAGCTTATACAACTCCTTATTCTTCATAAATTTGATGAAACAGTCACACAAATGAAATAGATCCATCTTTATTAACGTGCTGACAGTAGAATCTAACAGATCAAAGAGGAGGGGACTGATTTGAAGGACGGAAGCATGGAGGGGATACAAAGAGTATAACTACTTGGCATAGGAAGAGACCTTCCTTGATCAAGCTCAACTTAGGAAAGAATGAATGAGAAAAGGGACTCTTTCCTCCTGTCTGTGGTCAGGAGAAGGCTCGTGACGGAGTTAACAACTTCCAGATCCCGTAAGAGCCTTTGTAAAGGTATTTCCATTATGTATCACTTCACAGACGTACGTATGGTCTCCATAGTCGGAATCACTCCTGGTCAGGTAACTGCTGGCAAGGTATTTGTCACCCTGCTTGGTGGCTTTGGTTGTCTCCACTCCAGAGGTGGTCTCTGTACCATCAACCTTCCATTTCAGGGTGAAAGCAGGTGGGTGAAAGCCACTTAGGAGACATACCAGAGTGGCCTTCTTCTGGGTTTTGATCTCTTGCTCAGAAGGAGCAAAGACTTGGACCGAAGGAGATACTGGATCCTGACCTGGAAGAGAGGAAGATCTCATGAGGTTCTACACAGCAACTTAAAACTTCAACGCAACATTAAAAGAGTAACTAGATGGATAAATGTATAGATCGTTTTCCTCATCAAGACTGTGGGGGAGGGAGTGGGAAAAATATCAAGGCAAAATTTCTCAAAATAGTACATTACTAAGATGATAAGAATCATACGGCCCACTTCGTAAGGGAGAGAAAAACATTATAAAAAATGCTAGAGGAGAGGTTTGGAGGACTTCCTTGGCATTCAGAAGGGGTTGTTATAGACAATGGACAAAAGAGATTCCTATTGTTTGGTCTTGGAGCCTAAATAAAGTTTTGATTTGATATGATTTGATTTCTCTATTCATGTTAGATTCCAACTTGGAAGAGAGATGATTTGAAAACTCATTCTGAGTTGGTTCCCATGGCCCAATATTGAAATAACGTTCATCATTTCTTCTGAGCATTCCTTGGTCCAAGACATTGAATTAAAAGAATACATATGACACGTATGCCACAAGAAACATTTCTTGCAGATGTCCCTCACAAAGTCATCTTACGCTTTACAAAAGGTGACGCATTTCCCCCCACTCAATTAATCAATTTTTAAGGGCTCTAGCTCGCGTTAACTTCTGAAAGAAATCAAATTTGATTTGGTAATTTTGAAAAGTAATTCCCCTGCAGATACGTGAAGATATTCCTAGGTGGGGCCATGCAGGAAATCTTACTCTGATGTGAGAATTGATATTGCATGATTTGATCTCCCATTGTAGCAGGCTACCCACAATTCTTGTAGTTAGTTCTTTGAACCAGAAATTCGTTACATCAGAATGAGATTTCCTGCATGGCCCACCTAGGAATATCTGCATGCATCTGCAGCAGGAGAGTTACTACTCAATATCATTCTTCTTAGAAAAACATTTCTTTGCATTTGGTAGAAGACAAAGGAGGCTATGTCAATAGAACATCTGGGCAACAGCTTACCCAGGAGAAGTACATCTTACAAATAGCTTTATTATGCCAATTATGAATTAGAGCTGTTTAATTAATTCTTTCTTGTCTACCAGGACAGGAAAAGAGATGAGAAACTAAGTGGCTTCTGTATAGTCATATCACCTACTCCCACTTTGGTTTCTCTCTCTACGTGTGTGAGTTTCAGAGGGAGGAAGAGAAATAAATTATTTTAAGTTCCTGAATGCAGTGATGTTTCCTTCTTCAGGTAGGAGTAGTCGACCACATGAGCAGAAACATGAATCCTTGTCCTAGGAAAAACATTTTTATTGCACAAAAGAATTAAAGGGGAGAAACAGAGTTGAGTTTCATGGAATTTATACCCCTCTTTCACGTCAAACCAACTTTCTAGAAACAGTCAAAGTCAATGGTTTAAATGTTTAGAGTTGAGTTGCATGACAACCCAACTTTCTAACACCATTTAAACTCAATGCCAAAGAAAATGCGGTCCAATCTCCTAACTCAGATTTCTTTTGTGGAGAACATCTTAGAGATCTCCAATTTATGTTAGATTCCAACTTGAAAGAGAGATGATTTGAAAACTCATTCTGAGTTGGTCCCCGTGGCCCAATATTGAAATAACTTCAGCATTTCTTCTGAGTTCCTTATTCAAAGACATTGAATTATAACAATACATATGACATGCATGCCACAAGAAACATTTCTTGCAGATGTGCCTCACAAAGTCATCTTACGCTTTATAAAAGTTTACTAATTTTTCCCAGTCAGTTAATCAATTCTTTATGGGATTTATCTCAAGTTAACCTCTGAAAGAAATATTTTGGATTTAATTTTTTTTATCAGTTGTTTAACACATGTAGGAGAAAAATATCAAAACTCTGAACATCTCCAAAAGAGATAACATGAAACATTCTAGTCCTTTACTTGTGTACTACGCTACTTATTTCTGTAAACAAGTTTGAATTGAAGTCTTATCCCAGTTTCTAAATTTTGAGGAGACTAAACAGGAATTAAGGTTTGATACAAAGTAGTTGATATGATCAGTTTGGATAAAATAGGAAAAGACAATTTGACCAAACCTCCCTATATCTTCCCGAAACGAAAATTGGAAACCCAACACATTGGTGAGATACCACTTCTGTTTCCTTCACAATCATACCACATTCATTTACTCCTCTGAAGGTTCTTTAGGAAAGGATCCCTTCCCCCAACGGAGAAATGCAAGTTCAATCACAGATCCATTTCTGCAAATTTGATCCAATGAGAAACGGTCCCTTCCGAACCTATGGTTGTGGCGATCCACTCCCCTTATCCCCACAGTCTTAGAGATGCTTATATCATTGTAACGTTTCCCCAGGTTGTTGCTGACTTAAATATTTTTGTAAATGTGGAGGCGCATCATTTGAAAAACCGCCTCCATAACTCTAAATCTAACTCTAGATTTATTAGTAGATGATGTGGCTGATCCCTTTTCGATCAAAGGGAAATCACACCATTGGAAGTAGGTGGCTACAAAAAACTTGAATAAATAAGAAAAACAAGAGAAAAAGAAGAAGGAAACATTAGGATTTGTAGCAAAGATTGAACTCCTTGCATTGACTGATTTGGCTGTTGGAATGAATAATGAATGGTTGATCAGACATCCCAAAATTTTAATGTAATTTTGATGACCGGAGATTAAAATCTCTGTCTTGTCTTTTTCAGAAGCTGGAGACTTTTTTAAACCAAATGATAAAGCAAAGGATCAGATTGACAATATTTTGGCTTCCTTAAATCCACTTGGAATATCAAAACACAGAGTGATAAAAGAAGATCTTCAGCCAATCCCATTCAGTTCCATTGAAGAGAACACAATACAGATTCATCTTTTAATCCACAGGAAAATTATGCCTGAGGATAAAAGTAGCCACCAGTGAGATTTCTCAAGATCTCATTGAACCTGGTCATGAAAATCAAAGTGTCTCTGCGAACAGGGAAGTTGAAATCATATAGATTCGAATCTACCTGTCCTGACCTGGGCTAAATGTTCAGTTCTCATTAAAAAAAACACATCATCATTGTTGAATCAAAAGCAACCCTAAAATCAAAGTGCATGGAGTCAAAGTAAGGAAAGAAGAGGAAAAAGAGGAAAAAATGAAAATATTACATGCGGAAAGAAAGATTTGGGATAATTCATTGACTTACCTGTGACGGTTAGCTGGGTTCCTCCTCCGAACACCCACCACAGTGATACAGGGCTGTACAAAAACCTTCTCTCTCTTGATGTTCTTCAGATAGAGCAATAGGTAGTGTCCTTAACAAGGTCATTTCAAGTTCTTTAAATCCCATGGAATGCATTTTGGGAAAGAAAAACCCCAATGATCCATTTTTAGAGTCGTCAAAGAAGGACCTGTTGGTGATTGAGAAAGATCTCAGGTCCTTCGAGAACTTCCATTCTGGAAGCGAGTCCTTTCTGGATGCAAACAGATGGTAGATGAGAACTTTTATTCCTTCTAGATTAGGTAAAAAACATTCAGATGGCTGCAGTTTTAGCAGTTTATATAATAAATAAACTATGTTTAAGAAGTGTGACAGGTTACTGAAGTTTTGTCTATGCTCTTATTGTTTTTGATGAATTTAACCCAATGCACTGGATCTGTTCTTGAAGTTCAGCTTGATCGCTGTATTATGATTTCTGTAGTCCACCATTAAGAATAGTGTTGAGTAGATCCATCAGGAAAATGGACACCTAGGAAGTGACCCTTATCTGATACTAACTTCCTCTGAATCTAAATGGCCTTGAGGTTGAAAGCTCACTGAATGATGTGGGATAGATATCTCTATATGTCTCAGGATACCTTGTATGAGGAACACTCCCAAGAAGACTCTGGACCATGGATTATGCCTGCTTGTATTCAGGTCTACCAGTTGAAATCCTAAGAAGGACAACTCTGATATTTCTTGAAGACTAGGAATTCTCTGCAAGCCTGGAGTGGAGATTTGGAATGGTCCAGGGTGGTGATGTTGTGATGGCCTTTAGAAGGTATACTTTTGAGGAAATTTCAGTAGCTTGTAAAATACATTCGGTACATTTCAAGAAGGCCCTGGACCATGGGTTCTGCTTGCGTCTATTCAGGACTACCAGTTGATTTCCTAATTTCATCCCATTTCATTCATTCATTCATTGATTCATTGATTCATTCATTTATTTATCAAATTTATTAGCCAGCTATCTTATCACAGGAACCTTTAAAAATGCTCTCTGTACTTGAATCGTCATTCAGAGCTAAATTCCTGAATTCCTGAATCCAACAAATTCCAGTCATGTTGAAGAGATGGAAGTCTTCTTATTTAAATGACCAACAGCCAAGTTTTTTTTGAAGCCAGTGGCCAAATATTTACTGCTAGCCCAGCTTGTGTCTTACCATGAATTGTTAACTTTATAGGATTCCTTCCTTTTATATATGTCTGTAATGTCACTTTTCCCATGAATTAATGGTGTGCTGTGTTCTTACACTTTGTGACTTGAGAGAGAGTAGATAGATGACAAATTGATTGATAGATAATAGATGATAGATAGATGATAGGTAGATAGATAGAAATAGAGATAGATAGACAGACAGATTGATAGATATTATAGAGAGAGAGAGGAAGAAGAAAGATGATAGATAGATAGATGATAGATTGATGATAGACGATAGGTAGATAGATAGATAGATAGATAGATAGATAGATAGATGATAGACGATAGGTAGATAGATAGATAGATAGATAGATAGATAGATAGATAGATAGATAGATAGATGATACAGAATACAGAATAATAGAGTTAGAAGGACCTTGGAGGTCTTCTCGTCCAACCCCCTGCTCAAGCAGGAGATCCTATACAATTCAGACAAATGGTTGTCCATTCTTTTCATAAAAGCCTGCAGTGATGGATCACCTAAAACTTCTGAAAGCAACTTCTGGTCTACTGGTTAATTGTTCTCACTGTCATGAAATTTCTCCTGATTTCCAGGTTGCTTCTCTCCTTGGTTAGTTTCCATCCGTTGCTTCTTGTCCTGCCTTCAGGTGCTTTGGAGAACTGGCTTACCCCCTCTTCTTTGGGATAGATAGATAGGTGTTGAAATATCCTATTTCATCCAATCCTATATTCATATCAGCTGGAGGACTGTTTAGAATTATTGGAAGAACCTCTATGATCCCATATCCTCCCAAGTCTGCTAGTGTTACTACTAAAAAACAAGGCATTTTCATTTCAAATTGAGAAGAATTCATGTGTGAATTTGATGTAACACCCATGGAGGGAATCCAAAACCCAATGATACTTCTTGATATTCCCAAGAGAAGCAGACCTCATATTTTCCCCCCATATTAAATTTGGCTAACTGTGTGAAATAGGATCTTGGGAAGAGACCATTTTCACCCGAGATAGGAAAGCTTATACAACTCCTTATTCTTCATAAATTTGATGAAACAGTCACACAAATGAAATAGATCCATCTTTATTAATTTGCTGACAGTAGAATCTAACAGATCAAAGCGGGGGGCATCAATTCGAAGAACGAAAGCATGGAGGGAATACAAAGAGTGTAACTACTTTGTTGTAGGAAGAGACATTAGTGATCAAGCTCAACTTAGGAAAGAATGAATGAGAAAAGGGACTCTTTCCTCCTGTCTGTGGTCAGGAGAAGGCTCATGACGGAGTTAACAACTTCCAGATCCCGTAAGAGCCTTTGTAAAGGTATTTCCATTATGTGTCACTTCACAGACGTACGTATGGTCTCCATAGTCGGAATCACTCCTGGTCAGGTAACTGCTGGCAAGGTATTTGTCACCCTGCTTGGTGGCTTTGGTTGTCTCCACTCCAGAGGTGGTCTCTGTACCATCAACCTTCCATTTCAGGGTGAAAGCGGGTGGGTGAAAGCCACTTAGGAGACATACCAGAGTGGCCTTCTTCTGGGTTTTGATCTCTTGCTCAGAAGGAGCAAAGACTTGGACTGAAGGAGATACTGGATCCTGACCTGGAAGAGAAGAAGATCTCATGAGGTTCTACACAGCATCTTAAAACTTCAACGCAACATTAAAAGAGTAACTAGATGGATAAACGTATAGATCGTTTTCCTCATGAAGACTGTGGGGGAGGGAGTGGGAAAAATATCAAGCCAAAATTTCTCAGAATAGTATTTGATCTCCCATTGTAGCAGTCCACCACCAATTCTTTTAGTTCCTTCTATGAAACACCAAGACAGGTCTCTCACCAGAAATTCTATGGGTTTTACATCAGAGTAATATTTCCTGCCTGGTCCCACTTAAGAATTACTACATGTATCTGCTGTTGAGTTACTTTTCACATCTATTTCTCTTACAAGAACATTTGGAAGAGCAATAACTTTCTGATTATCTTGAATCTTGCTTGAGAAGTAATTCATTTTTTTCTTTGCATTTTGTAGAAGTCAGAGAAGACTGACTTCTACAAACCGAACATCTGGGCCACAGCATGCTTTAGGGAAAGGACCTGAGTTTTAACAATTATGAATTATAATTGTTTAACTAATTTTTTTCTCTACCACGCCTGGAGAAAGATTAAGTGCCTTCTGTATATTCAGATCCTCACTCCCCTGCTGGTTTCTCTCCTTGAGTGTGTGAGTTTCAGAGAGAGAGAAAGAGAAATAAATTATTTTTAGTTCCTGAATGCAGTGATGTTCCTTCTTCATAGTGGAACAGTCGATCACATGACCTCCTTTCCAAAAACATGAATCTTTTTCCTGGAAAACACATTTTTGTACTGTATAAGAGAAATAAAGGGTAGAAATAGAGTTTCATGGCAAGCATACCTCTCTTGGATGTCAACAGAACTTTCTAAGAGCATTTAAACTCAATGTATGGTCCAATCTCCTAACCCAGATTTCTTTTGATGTTTTTTACAAAACGTTTTAGAGGTCTCCAATTTATGTTGGATTCCAACTTGATGAGAGACGAGTTAAAAACTCATTGTGAGATGGTTCCCATAGCCCAGTATTGATGAAATGAACTTCTGATCTCACAATCTCCTAACCCAGATTTCTTTTGATATTATGTACAGAATGTCTTAGAGGTGTCCAATTTATGTTGGATTCCAACTTGATGAGAGACAAGTTGAAATTATGAGTTAGTTCCCATAGCCCAATATTGACAAAATGCTGTTTTGATCTCCTTATCCCAACTCATCAAATTGAAAGAATACATATGACATGCATGCCACCAGAAACATTTCTTAGAGATGTCCTTCAAAAATGCATCTTTCAATTGATAAAAGGTTACTTATTTTCCTCACTCAGTCAATCAATTCCTTAAAGATCCTTCTCAAATTACACTTTGAAAAGAAATATTTAGGAGTTAAATTTTCTATCACTTGTTTAAGACATACAGGAGAAAAAGAGAGAATTCTGAACATCTGGCAAAGAGATAACCTGAAACGTTGGAGTCCATTGCTTGCTTATTATATTATTTGTTTGAGATGAATGGTTTGAATTGAAAGGCTTATTCCCAAGGTTTAAATGTTTAGTGGAAGAAACAAGAATTATGTTTTGATAGGAAGGTGGTTGATCTTATTAGTTTGGACAAAATAGGAAAGGATAATTTGACCAAACTCTCGTAGAACTTTCTGAAGTGAAAGTTGGATAGGCAATCATTCCACCACAAGGGATCAATGCCACTTCTGTTTCCTTCACAATCACACCACATTCATTCACCACTTTGAGCCTCCGCCAACTGAGAAATTGATGGTTCAATCACATATCCATTTCTGCAAACTTGAGCCAAAGAGAGATGGGAATGTGCCTGGTATCTCCCTGAATCCATACGCTATTTATTTAATATCACACATCATATTCATATGGTATCTCTTATGCATAGAATCTGAGAGTTAACTTTGTGGCAGAATCTGAATATTTTTCTGAAAGGCGGATAATTTGGACAATCACCATCGTAGCTCTAAATCTAACCCGAGATCTAATGTTAGATCCTGCTGCAGATCCCCTTTCAATCCAAGGGAGATCACTGACCGGAGTCCATTGGAGTTGGGCGGCTAGAGTAAACTTGAAAAAATTATGTTAAGAGCCTGGTGGTGCAGCAGACTAATAGCCTGTTATTATCATTCAGCTGCCTGCAATTACTGCTAGTTCGAATCTTGCCAGGGTCAGGGTTGACTCAGCCTTCCATCCTTTCTAAGGTAGGTAAATTGAGGACCCAGTTTGTGGGGGCAATAAGCAGACTTTGTATAAATATACAAAAGTATGAAGGCTATTGCTTAACGCATTGTAAGCCACCCTGAGTCTCCGGAGAAGGGCGGCATATAAATCAAATTAAAAAATAAATAAATAAAACAAGAAAACCTCAAGATATGAAGTGCAGATTTGACTCCCTACATGGACTGAGTTTGGAATGAATGATGGACTGTTGATCAAACATGCCAACATTCCTATGCAATTTTGATAAGGTTAGTTTTAAAAAAATGTCCCCAATGCTTTTGAATCGCTTCTGTCTTATCTCTCAATGGCTTTAAGAAGATGGAATGTTTTGATTACCAAACAATCAAGCAACGTATCGTATTGATAATATATCATATCATACTTTGGCTTACTTAATTCTACCTGGAAAATCGAACCACACAATGACAATATCAAATTTTCAGTCAACCTCATTCAGTTCCGTTAAAGAGATTATAATAGAAATGAATCTCTCGGTTTTTCTTTAACCCAAAGAATAGTTACTCCTGAGTGTAAAAGTAGCCATAAGTTAGATTTCTCGAGATCTCATTGAACCTGATCATGAAAATCAAAGTAATACCTGTGAACAGCGAAGATGAAATAACACAGATTTGAATTAACATGCCCTGCTCTGGTCTCAATGTTCAGTTCTTATGGAAAAACATCACCATGGATGGATCAAAAGCAATGATAAGATCAAATCGCCCGAAGTCAAAGTAGGTAAAGATGTGATAAAAAATGAAAAAATGAAAATACCACATGCAGGAAGAGAGATTTGAGATCAATTCATTGACTTACCTGTGACAATTAGCTGGGTTCCTTCTCCGAAGATATACCACAGTGATGCACAGCTATACAAAAACCTGGGGTCATTTCATAGCAAAAAAAGTCACAGAGATTTTAAAGAGAGAAAATCCTAGACCTCTAATTTCCTATTAGAACAGGACAGGAGATCAAAGAACAGCTGATGTCCTTGTCGTGGTTATTTCAATTTCCTTAAATCCCATGGAGTGCATTTTGGAAGAGAAGCCAATAGTCCATGTTCAGAGTAGTAAAAGAAGGGCCCGTTGGAGTTTTATAAAGATCTCAAGAAGTTCCATTCTTGAAATGATTGCTTTCTGGATACAGATGGTAGATGAGAACCTTTATTTCTTCAAGATTGAGTGATATGAAAGGAGTTCAAGTGTTGGCAGCCTTTCCAGTTTAGCAAATATAAACTATGTTGAAGAAGTCTGACAAGTAGTTACTTTGTAGGTACTGAAGTTTTGTCTATGCTCTAATTGTTTTTGATGAAGTTAAGCCAATGCACTAGATCTGTTGGGTAGATGTGTTGAGGAGATCCACCAACATGGACCAGTTTTCTGATTCTAAATGTCCTTGATCTTGAAATTATGCAGGATAGATAGCTTTCAATTTCTCCGGACACCTTATATGTAGAACATTTCCAAGAAGGCCCTGGACCATGGGTTATGGCTGCTGGGATTCAGATTCCACCGGCTGAATTTCTAATAAGGACAACTGAGATTTTTCAAGATGAGTTACAATTCATTCAATTCTCTTGAATGAATGGAAATGCAACTTTTGAGCCACTGCAGTTGGACTTGAATTGATTCATAGATGTGAAAAGAATCTGGGATGCTGAGGTGGTTCCTTAAATGTTGTTTCCTTTTTTCCTTTTTTTATTTCATCCTGAGAAAATGAGGAATTTACTCTTAAGAATGACAGAAAAGCATCTTGTGAACACTTAAGCAAGTTCAACCTGGCCAATGGAAGATTAATCATCTCCAAATAGCTTTGAATGTGCAACTGACCCTTGGAAACCATTAACCTGGTCTCTGCATGTAGGTTTCCTAGCTAGATTCTGAGCTAATGACAGTTAATTGATATCCTGGTCTTCCATATGATGATTGGGTATGTTTTTGCTCAAATCTGGAGATTGAATCTCTGAAAACCTATGAAGAACGGTTGCAGGAACTGGATATGTCTAGTTTGATGAAAAGAAGGACTAGGGGAGACAGGATAGCAGTGTTCCAATATCTCAGGGGCTGCCCCAAAGAAGAGGGAGTCAAACTATTCTCCAAAGCACCTGAAGGCAGGAGAAGAAGCAATGGGTGGAAACTAATCAAGGAGAGAAGCAACTTAGAACTAAGGAGAAATTTCCTGACAGTGAGAACAATTAACCAGTGGAACAAATCACCATCAGAAGTTGTAAATGCTCCAACACTGGAAGTTTTTAAGAAGATATTGGATAACCATTTGTCTGAAGTGGTGTAGCGTTTCCTGCCTGGGCAAGGGGTTGAACTAGAAGATCTCTAAGGTCCCTTCAAACTCTGTTATTCTAAAAGTGTCCTCTGGACTTGAACTGTCAACCAGAGCTTAAATACCAATTTTTGAACCCGATAAACTCCAGTCAGGATGAAGAAATGGAAGTATTCTTATTAAATGACCAACACCCAGGTGTTTTGAATCCAATGGCCAAATATTGACTGCTAGTCTTGCTTGAATCCTTCTGTGAATTGTTAACTTTATAGGATTTCTTCCTTTTATAGATGTTTCTAATGCCACTTTTTACATGAATTAATGGTGTACTGTATTTTTACATTTTATGACGAGAGAGAGATTAGACAGATGACAGATGGTCTGATAGATAATAGATGATCCATAGAAATAGAGATAGATGGATACATAGATAGATATTATAGAGAGAGAGGGAGATTGAAGAAAGATTAGAGATAGATAGATGATATATATGTATGTATGTATGTATGTATGTATGTATGTATGTATGGGGAGATAGGTAGAAGAAAGATAGAGAGATAGATGATAGATAGATAGAAGTAGAGATAGAAAAATAGATAGATAGGTGATAGGTAGGTAGGTAGGTAGGTAGGTAGGTAGGTAGATAGATAGATAGATAGATAGATAGATAGATAGATAGATAGATAGAGTGTATAGGATTGAAATGTCCCATCCACCTAATCCTAAATTCATATCAGCTGGAGGACTGTTTAGAATTATTGGAAGAACCTCTATGATCCCATATCCTCCCAAATCTGCTAGCATTACTATTAAAAAACCAAGGCACTTTCATTTCGAATTGAGAAGATTTCATGTGTGAATTTGATGTAACACCCATGGAGGGAATCCAAAACCCAATGAAACTTCTTGATATCCCCAAGAGAATCAGACCTGATATTTTTCCCCCATTAAATGGGGTTAACTGTGTGAAATAGGATTTTGGAAAGAGACCATTTCCCCCCCAAGATAGGAAAGCTTATACGACTCCTTATTCTTCATAAATTTGATGAAACAGTCACACAAATGAAATAGATCCATCTTTATTAACGTGCTGACAGTAGAATCTAACAGATCAAAGAGGAGGGGATTGATTTGAAGGACGGAAGCATGGAGGGGATACAAAGAGTGTAACTACTTGGTAGAGGAAGAGACCTTCCTTGATCAAGCTCAACTTAGGAAAGAATGAATGAGAAAAGGGACTCTTTCCTCCTGTCTGTGGTCAGGAGAAGGCTCGTGATGGAGTTAACAACTTCCAGATCCCGTAAGAGCCTTTGTAAAGGTATTTCCATTATGTATCACTTCACAGACGTACGTATGGTCTCCATAGTCGGAATCACTCCTGGTCAGGTAACTGCTGGCAAGGTATTTGTCACCCTGCTTGGTGGCTTTGGTTGTCTCCACTCCAGAGGTGGTCTCTGTACCATCAACCTTCCATTTCAGGGTGAAAGCAGGTGGGTGAAAGCCACTTAGGAGACATACCAGAGTGGCCTTCTTCTGGGTTTTGATCTCTTGCTCAGAAGGAGCAAAGACCTGCACCGAAGGAGATACTGGATCCTGACCTGGAAGAAAAGAAGATCTCATGAGGTTCTACACAGCATCTTAAAACTTCAACGTAGCATTAAAAGAGTAACTAGATGGATAAATGTATAGATCGTTTTCCTCATCAAGACTATGGGGGAGGGAGTGGGAAAAATATCAAGGCAAAATTTCTCAAAATAGTACATTACTAAGTTGGTAAGAATCATACGGCCCACTTCTTAAGGGAGAGAAAAACATTATTAAAAAAGCTAGAGGAGAGGTTTGGAGGACTTCCTTTGCATTCAGAAGGTAATCCTAACACCACAGGTGGCTAATATATAGAATGGACAAAAGAGATTCCTACTGTTTGGTCTTGGTGTCTAAACAAAGTTTTGATTTGATATGATTTGATCTCCCATTGTAGCAGTCTCCCCAGAATTCTTGTAGTTAGTTCTATGAACCAGAAATTCTTTACATCAGAGTGAGATTTCTTGCATGGCCGCCCCTAGAAATATCTCCATGTATCTGCAGCAGGAGAGTTACTACTTAAAATTATTCTTCTTAGAAAAACATTTCAATTATCTTATTTTTCTTTGCATTTTGTAGAAGACCAAGGAGGCTGTATCAAGAGAACATCTGGGCAACAGCATGCCTTAAGGAGAAGTACAGCTTGCAAATAACTTTATTATGCCAATTATAAATTGGATTTGTTTAATTAATTCTTTCTTGTCTACCAGGACAGGAAGAAGATGAGAAACTAAGTGCCTTCTGTATATTCATATCACCTACTCCCATGTTCGTTTCTCTCTCTACATGTCTGAGTTTCAGAGAGAGGAAGAGAAATAAATTATTTTTAGTTCCTGAATGAAGTTGATGTTTCCTTCTTCATGTAGGAATAATCGACCACATGAACAGAAACATGAATCCTTCCACTACAAAACACATTTTTATTGCACAAAAGAATTAAATGGCAGAAACAGAGTTGAGTTTCATCGAATTTATATCTCTCTTTGAAGTCAAACCAACTCTCCAGGAACATTCAAACTCAATTGTTTAAATGTTTAGCGTTGAGTTTCATGTCCACACTACTTTCTAAGAGCAGTTAAAGTCAATGCCAAAGAAAATGTGGTCCAATCTCCTAACTCAGATTTCTTTTGTGGAGAACGTCTTAAAGATCCCCAATTTATGTCAGATGCCAACTTGGAAGAGTGATGATTTGAAAACTCATTCTGCATTGGTTCCCAGGGCCAAATATTGAAGTAACATTCAGCATTTCTTCTGAGCATTACTTATTCCAAGACATTGAATTAAAGAATGCATGCATGCCACAAGAAACATTTCTTGCAGATGTCCCTCACAAAGTCATCTTATTCTTTATAAAAGGTTAGTCATTTTTCCCCACTCAGTTAATTCATTCTTTAAGGGACCTATCTCAAGTTAACCTCTGAAAGAAATATTTAGGATTTAAATTCTTTCATCAGTTGTTTAACACACACAGGAGAAAAATAGCAAAACTCTGAACATCTCCAAAAGAGATAACATGAAAGGTTTTAGTTCTTTCCTCGCATACTATGCTACTTATTTGTGTAAAATAATTGGAATTGAAGTCTTATCCCAGTTTCTAAATTTTGAGGAGACTAAACAAGAATTATTGTTCAATACAAAGTAGTTGATATGATCAGTTTGGACAAAATAGGAGAAGACAATTCGACCATACCTCCCTATATCTTCCTGAAACGAAAGTTGGAAACCCAACACATTGGTGAGATACCACTTCTGTTTCCTTCACAATCATACCACATTCATTTACCCCTCTGAAGGTTCTTTAGGAAAGGATCCCCTCCTCCAACGGAGAAATGCAAGTTCATTCACAGATCCATTTCTGCAAATTTGATCCATTGAGAAATGGTCCCTTCTGAACCTATGGTTGTGGCTATCCACTCCACTTATCCGATCAATCTAAGAGATGCTTATATCATTATAACATTTCCCCAGGTTGTGTCTGAATCTGAATATTTTTGCAAAGCTGGAAGTGCATCATTTGGACAACCGCCTCCATATCTCTAAATCTAACCCTAGATTTAGTAGTAGATCATGTGGCTGATTCCTTTTCGATCAAAGAGAAATCACAGCACAGAGTCCATTGGAAGTAAGTGGCTACAAAAAACTTGAATAAATAAGCAAAACAAGAGAAAAAGAAGAAGGAAACATCAGGATTTTTAGCAAAGATTGAACTCCTTGCATTGACTGATTTGGCCGTTGGAATGAATGATGAATGGTTGATCAGACATCCCAACATTTTAATGTAATTTTGATGACCGCAGAGTAAAATCTCCGTCTTGTCTTTTTCAGAAGATGGAGATTTTTTTTAAACCAAATGATAAAGCAAAGGATCAGATTGACAATGTATCCTATTTTGGCTTCCTTAAATCCACTTGGAACATCTAAACACAGAGTCATAAAATCAGACTTTCAGCCAATCCCATTCAGTTCCATTGAAGAGAACACAATACAGATTCATCTTTTAATCCACAGGAAAATTATGCCTGAGGATAAAAATAGCCGCCAGTGAGATTTCTCAAGATCTCATTGAACCTGGTCATGAAAATCAAAGTGTCTCTGCGAACAGGGAAGATGAAATCATAAGGATTCGAATCTACCTGTCCTGACCTGGGCTAAATGTTCAGTTTTCATTGAAAAAGAAACCGATCATCATTGTTGAATCAAAAACAACCCTAAAATCAAAGTGCATGGAGTCAAAGTAAGGAAAGAAGAGGAAAAAGAGGAAAAAATGAAAATATTACATGTGGAAAGAAAGATTTGGGATCAATTCATTGACTTACCTGTGACGATTAGCTGGGTTCCTCCTCCGAACACCCACCACAGTGATACATGGCTATACAAAAACCTTCTCTCTCTTGATGTTCTTCAGATAGAGCAACAGGTGGTGTCCTTAACAAGGTTGTTTCAAGTTCCTTAAATCCCATGGAATGCATTTTGGGAAAGAAAAACCCCAATGATCCATTTTCAGAGTCGTCAAAGAAGGACCTGTTGGTGATTGAGAAAGATCTCAGGTCCTTCGAGAACTTCCATTCTGGAAGCGAGTCCTTTCTGGATACAAACAGATGGTAGATGAGAACTTTTATTCCTTCTAGATTAGGTGAAAAACACTCAGATGTCTGCAGCTTTGGCAGTTTATATAATAAATAAACTATGTTTAAGAAGTGTGACAGGTTACTGAAGTTTTGTCTATGCTCTTATTGTTTCTGATGAATTTAACCCAATGCACTGGATCTGTTCTTGAAATTCAGCTTGATCACTGTATTATGATTTTTGTAGTCCACCATTAAGAATAGTAATAGATCCTTCAGAAAATGGACCTCCAGGAAGTGACCCTTATCTGATTCTGACTTCTTCTGACTATAAATATCCTTGAGGTTGAAAGCTCAGTGAATGATGTGGGATAGATAGCTTTATATGTCTCAGGATACCTTATATGAAGAACACTTCCAAGAAGGTCCTGGACCATGGGATATGCCTGCTTCTATTCAGGTCTTCCAGTTGAATTCTTAAGAAGGACAATTTTTCTGGAAGACTAGGAATTCTCTGCATGCTTATCTGCAGGTTTCCTTAACCGTAAATATAAGTGCGTTGTGTCAAGATTTTGCCTGGAGTGGAGATTTGGAATGATTTAGGGTAGTTTTGCGATGGCCTTTAGAATGTAGACTTTCATGGAAATTTCAGTAGCTTGTAAAATACATTTTGACATATGGAGACCTATGAGTCACATGGCTCTGATCCAGGGTTTTATTTCCCCTTGAGTGAGCCAACTATTGAGGCTCTGCAATTAAGTCCTAAAATTCATAGATTTTAAAAGATTCTGGGTTGTCTAGGTAGTTCCTAAATATCGACCCATGGTGCTTTCATGCACAATGCTCCATTGTGGAATTGGGATGTTATTCTTGTGGCCTGACAATGGCTAGTGGAGCCGGTGGCAGACTCAGACAGTGAGGAGGTTGGGGAGGAACATGGGCCAGTCCTGGAGTCTGGGGAAGTCTCTGATGATGGGACAGGGACGGGATAGGGACACTATCTGCTAAGATCTCCGATCGTCTTCCAGGGATTTTTTTCCTGAATGCAATTTTTGAGTCAGTGATTCATAGATCTGAAAAGAATTTGGAGGCCTACGTGGATCCTGATTTTCCCAGTTGCAATGTAGGGCTGTGAAAGTTGGACTATAAGGAAGGCTGAGCGCCAAAGAATCAAAGCCTTTGAACTCTGATGCTGGAAAAGACTCCTGTGAGTCCCTTGGACTGCATGGTGATCAAACCGGTCAGTCCTGGAGGAGATCAACCCTGACTGCTCTTTAGAAGGCCAGGTCCTGAAGATGAAAGTCAAATACTTTGGCCACCTAAGGAGAAGGAAGGACTCCCTGGAGAAGAGCCTCATGCTGGGAACGATGGAGGGCAAAAGAAGAAGAAGGGGACGGCAGAGAACGAGGTGGCCGGATGGAGTCACTGAAGAAGTCGGCGTGAGCTTAAATGGACTTCAGAGGATGGTAGAGGACAGGAAGGCCTGGAGGAACATTGTCCATAGAGTCGCGATGAGTCAGATACAACTTCGCAACTAACAACAAGGTGGATCCTTGAAACCCATCCATGATGCTTCCCCTGTCTGCTATTTCTTATGTTGTCCTTGTCCAACAAGGAATTAACTCAGTCCAATGACAAAATAAACATCTCGTGAAGGGCTTAACCGGGTTCAACCAGACCAATGGATATTAATCATCTCCAAATAGTTTTGAAATTGCAAGCAATCCATATGAAACAATTAAACCCGCCTTTGCATGTAGGTTTCCTAGCTAGATTCTGGTCTGGTGACAGCTGGTCTTTTTGTCCATCTTCCATATGATGAATTGAATATGTATTTGCTCAAACCTAGAGGTGGAGTCCACTTCATTCATTCAATCATTATTTATTTATCAGCTTTATTGGTCAGCTATTTCAACACAGGGTGCTTTAAAAATGCCCTCTGTACTTGAACTGTCAATCAAAGCTAAAACACCCATTCCTGAATTGGATCAACTCTTGGGTCATTGTTGATGAAAGGATGGAAGTACTCTTATTAAATGACCAATACCCAGGTATTTTGAAGCCAATGGCCAGATATTTCCTTCTAGCCTGCTTGGTTCCTTCCACCAATTGTCAACTTTAGAAGATTTCTTCCTTTTATATATGTTCATAATGCCAATTTTTGCATGAATTAATGGTACGGTGTATTTTTACACTTGGTGGCTTGAGAGATAGTAGTTCAACCATATATTTACTCTATATCAATTGGCGAATGAGGAGTTATTGGAAGGGACATGGTGATCTCATAGATCCCAAAATCTGTTGGCATTAATACTAAAGAACAAGGCATTTTCATTTCAAACTTGAGAAGAATTCATGTGTGAATGTATTGCAATACCAATGTAGGGATCCAAAACCAGATGATGCTTCTTGATATCCCCAACAGAATCTCACCTAGATTGGAGGGTTTTTTTGTAACTGGTATTTTTCCCTTTTATATATGTCACTTTTGGCTTGAATTAATAGTGTGCTGTATTTTTACACTTTGTGACATGCGATATAGTAGATAGATAGATAGATAGATAGATAGATAGATAGATAGATAGATGATAGATAGATAGATAGATAGATAGATAGATAGATAGATAGATAGATGATAGATGATAGATAATAAATAGGTAGCAGAGGTGGGTTTCAGCAGGTTCTGACCAGTTCTGAAGAACCGGTAGTGGAAATTTTGAATAGTTTGGAGAATCGGTAAATACCACCTCTGACTGGCCCCTCCGCCATCTATTCTCTGCTTCCCGAGTCCCAGCTGATCAGGAGGAAATGGGGATTTTGAAGTAACTTTCCCCTGGATTGTGGAGGGAATGGAGATTTTACAGTATCCTTCCCCTGTCATACCCACCAAGCCATGCCCACCAAGCCATACCAAGCCCACCAAACCACACCCAAAGAACCGGTAGTAAAAAAATTTGAAACCCACCACTGATAGGTAAGTAGGTAGGTAGGTAGATGATAGATAGATGATAGACAGGCAGACAGATAAATAGATAGCTAGATAGATGGATGATAGATGGATAGATGGATAGATGGATAGATGGATAGATGGATGGATGGATGGATGGATGGATGGATGGATGGATGGATAGATAGATAGATAGATAGATAGATAGATAGAGTATAAGACTGAGATGTCCAATTCCATCTAATCCTATATTGATATCTGCTGGAGGGCTGTTTAGAATTATTGAAAGAACCTCTATCATCCCATATCTTCCCAAAACTCCTAGCATTACGACTAAAGAAGAAGGCATTTTTATTTCAAAGTTGAGAACAATTCATGTATCAATTTGATGTAATATCCATGCAGGGAATCCAAAGCCCGATGATGCTTCTTGATATCTCCAAGAGAATCAACCTATCCCCCCCCCCATTGAATGTGGTTAATTGTGTGAAATAGGATCTTGGGAACAGACCACTTTTCCCTCCAAGATAGGAAAGCTTATATTGTTTGGTATTCTTCATAAATTTGCTAAAGACACTCACAGAAATGAAATACATCCATCTTTATTAATATGCTGACAGTAGAATCTAATACTAGAATCAAAAGGTGGGGGGGATCGATTTCAAGGGCGAAGGCATGGAGGGGCTACAAAGGGTGTAACTACATGGGTTAAAAAGAGATATTATTGATCAAACTAAGTTTAGGAAAAAATGAACGAGAGCCCAGGAGAAGGGACTCGTTTCTCCTTCCTGATGGCAGGAAAGGAATTCATGTTAGAGTTAACAACTTCCAGATTTCGACACAGACTTTGCAATGGTCTTACTGTCATGTGTCACTTCACAGGTGACAGCCTTATGGTCTCGATACTCAGCCTCAGTCATTTTCATGTAACTGCTGGCAAGATATTTCCCATCTTGTTTGCTGGCTTTGGTGGTCTCCACTTCAGAGGTTATCACTTTACCATCGACCTTCCATTGCAATTCGAATGCAGGAGGGTAAAATTCGGTTAGGAGACACACGAATGTATATGGGTTCGGATTTCTGACCTCTTCCTGGGAAGGAGCAAACACTTGCACCGAAGGCGATACGTTGGTCTGACCTGGAAGAGAGGAAGATCTCATGAAGTTCCACACTGAATCTTAAGACTGAAATATAACATGGACCGAGTAACAAGACCAGTAGTGGGTTTCAAATCCCCGTCGCTACCAGTTCGCTTGTGGGCTTGCGCACAATGCTTCTGCACATGCGCAGAAGTGTCCGGGCGAGTGGGCGGAGCCTCCTGCTGCCCGATCTTGGGCGAACTGGTAGCAACCCACCACTGACAAGACTGATAACATTGATACCCTGTTTCCCCCAAAATAAGACATCCCCTGATAATAAGCCCAATCAGGCTTTTGAGCGCATGGCAATAAGGCCAAGCGCTTATTTCAGGGTTCAAAAAAAAATATAAGACAGGGTCTTATTTTTGGGGAAACACAGTAGATAGATAGATAGATAGATAGATAGATAGATAGATAGATAGATACCCTGTTTCCCCCCAAATAAGAGACCCCCTGATAATAAGCCCAATCGGGCTTTTGAGTGCATGGCAATAAGGCCAAGCACTTATTTCAGGGATCAAAAAAAATATAAGATAGCGTCTTATTTTTGGGGAAACACAGTAGATAGCGAGATAGCTAGATAGATAGGTAGATAGATAGATAGATAGATAGATAGATAGATAGATAGATAGATACCCTGTTTCCCTCAAAATAAGACACCCCCTGATAATAAGCTCATTCAGGCTTTTGAGCGCATAGCAATAAGGCCAAGCGCTTATTTCAGGGTTCAAAAAAAATATAAGACAGGGTCTTATTTTTGGGGAAACACAGTAGATAGATGATAGCTAGATAGCTAGCTAGCTAGATAGATAGATAGATAGATAGATACCCTGTTTTCCCCAAAATAAGACACCCCCTGATAATAAGCTCATTCAGGCTTTTGAGCGCATAGCAATAAGGCCAAGCGCTTATTTCAGGGTTCAAAAAAATATAAGACAGGGTCTTATTTTTGGGGAAACACAGTAGATAGATAGATAGATAGATAGATAGATAGATAGATAGATAGATACCCTGTTTTCCCCAAAATAAGACACCTCCTGATAATAAGCTCATTCAGGCTTTTGAGCGCATAGCAATAAGGCCAAGCGCTTATTTCAGGGTTCAAAAAAATATAAGACAGGGTCTTATTTTTGGGGAAACAAGGTAGATAGATAGATAGATAGATAGATAGATAGATAGATAGATAGAGAGAGAGAGATACCCTGTTTCCCCCAAAATAAGACACCCCCTGATAATAAACCCAATCTGGCTTTTGAGCGCATGGGAATAAGGCCAGGTTCAAAAAAATATAAGACAAGGTCTTATTTTTGGGGAAACACAGTAGATAGATAGATAGATAGATAGATAGATAGATAGATAGATAGATAGACAGACAGATAGATAGATACCCTGTTTCCCCCAAAATAAGACACCCCCTGATAATAAGCTCATTCAGGCTTTTGAGCGCATAGCAATAAGGCCAAGCGCTTATTTCAGGGTTCAAAAAAAATATAAGACACGGTCTTATTTTTGGGGAAACAAGGTAGATAGATAGATAGATAGATAGATAGATAGATAGATAGATAGATACCCTGTTTTCCCCAAAATAAGACACCCCCTGATAATAAGCCCAATCGGGGTTTTGAGCGCATGGGAATAAGGCCAGGTTCAAAAAAATATAAGACAGGGTCTTATTTTCGGGGAAACCAGGTAGATAGTCCTTGGTTTTTAACCATTTATTTAGTGATAGTTCAAACAGCACTAAACCCAGATTTCTTTTGATATTATGTACAGAATGTCTTAGAGGTGTCCAATTTATGTTGGATTCCAACTTGATGAGAGACGAATTGAAATGTCTTTATGAGTTGGTTCCCATAGCCCAACATTGACAAAATGCTGTTTTGATCTCCTTCTCCCAAGTCATCAAATTGAAAGAATACATATGACATGCATGCCACCAGAAACATTTCTAAGAGATGTCCCCCACAAATACATCTTTCACTTGATAAGAGGTTACTTATTTTGGTGGTTGATCTTATTAGTTTGGACAAAATAGGAAAAGATAATTTGACCAAACTCTCGTAGAACTTGCTGAAGTGAAAGTTGGATAGGCAATCATTCCACCACAAGGGATCAATGCCACTTCTGTTTCCTTCACAATCACACCACATTCATTCACCACTTTGAGCCTCCGCCAACTGAGAAATTGATGGTTCAATCACATATCCATTTCTGCAAACTTGAGCCAAAGAGAGATGGGAATATGCCTGGTATCTCCCCGAATCCATATGCTATTTATTTAATATCACACATCATATTCATATGGTATCTCTTATGCATAGAATCTGAGAGTTAACTTTGTGGCAGAATCTGAATATTTTTCTGAAAGGCGGATAATTTGGACACTCACCATCGTAGCTCTAAATCTAACCCGAGATCTAATGTTAGATCCTGCTGCAGATCCCCTTTCAATCCAAGGGAGATCACTGACCAGAGTCCATTGGAGTTGGGCGGCTAGAGTAAACTTGAACAAATTATGTTAAGAGCCTGGTGGTGCAGCAGACTAATAGCCTATTATTATTATTCAGCTGCCTGCTAGTTCGAATCTCCCCAGGCTCAGGGTTGACTCAGCCTTCCATCCTTTCTAAGGTAGGTAAATTGAGGACCCAGTTTGTGGGGGCAATAAACTGACTTTGTATAAATATACAAAAGTATGAAGGCTATTGCGTAACGCATTGTAAGCCGCCCTGAGTTTCCGGAGAAGGGCGGCATATAAATCAAATTAAAAAATAAATAAATAAAACAAGAAAACCTCAAGATATGGAGTGGAGATTTGACTCCCTACATGGACTGAGTTTGGAATGAATGATGGACTGTTGATCAAACATGCCAACATTCCTATGCAATTTTGATAAGGTTAGTTTTAAAAAAATGTCCCCAATACTTTTGAATCGCTTCTGTCTTATCTCTCAATGGCTTTAAGAAGATGGAATGTTTTGATTACCAAACAATCAAGCAACGTATCCTATTGATAATATAGCATATCATACTTTGGCTTACTTAATTCTACCTGGAAAATCGAACCACACAATGACAATATCAAATTTTCAGTCAATCTCATTCAGTTCTGTTAAAGAGATTATAATACAAATGAATCTCTCGGTTTTTCTTTAACCCAAAGAATAGTTACTCCTGAGTGTAAAAGTAGCCATAAGTTAGATTTTTCGAGATCTCATTGAACCTGATCATGAAAATCAAAGTAATACCTGTGAACAGCGAAGATGAAATAACACAGATTTGAATTAACATGCCCTGCTCTGGTCTCAATGTTCAGTTCTTATGGAAAAACATCACCATGGATGGATCAAAAGCAATGATAAGATCAAATCGCCCGAAGTCAAAGTAGGTAAAGATGTGATAAAAAATGAAAAAATGAAAATACCACATGCAGGAAGAGAGATTTGAGATCAATTCATTGACTTACCTGTGACAATTAGCTGGGTTCCTTCTCCGAAGATATACCACAGTGATGCACAGCTATACAAAAACCTGGGGTCATTTCATAGCAAAAAAAGTCACAGAGATTTTAAAGAGAGAAAATCCTAGACCTCTAATTTCCTATTAGAACAGGACAGGAGATCAAAGAACAGCTGATGTCCTTGTCGTGGTTATTTCAATTTCCTTAAATCCCATGGAGTGCATTTTGGAAGAGAAGCCAATAGTCCATGTTCAGAGTAGTAAAAGAAGGGCCCGTTGGAGTTTTATAAAGATCTCAAGAAGTTCCATTCTTGAAATGATTGCTTTCTGGATACAGATGGTAGATGAGAACCTTTATTTCTTCAAGATTGAGTGATATGAAAGGAGTTCAAGTGTTGGCAGCCTTTCCAGTTTAGCAAATATAAACTATGTTGAAGAAGTCTGACAAGTAGTTACTTTGTAGGTACTGAAGTTTTGTCTATGCTCTAATTGTTTTTGATGAAGTTAAGCCAATGCACTAGATCTGTTGGGTAGATGTGTTGAGGAGATCCACCAACATGGACCAGTTTTCTGATTCTAAATGTCCTTGATCTTGAAATTATGCAGGATAGATAGCTTTCAATTTCTCCGGACACCTTATATGTAGAACATTTCCAAGAAGGCCCTGGACCATGGGTTATGGCTGCTGGGATTCAGATTCCACCAGCTGAATTTCTAATAAGGACAACTGAGATTTTTCAAGATGAGTTACAATTCATTCAATTCTCTTGAATGAATGGAAATGCAACTTTTGAGCCACTGCAGTTGGACTTGAATTGATTCATAGATGTGAAAAGAATCTGGGATGCTGAGGTGGTTCCTTAAATGTTGTTTCCTTTTTTCCTTTTTTTATTTCATCCTGAGAAAATGAGGAATTTACTCTTAAGAATGACAGAAAAGCATCTTGTGAACACTTAAGCAAGTTCAACCTGGCCAATGGAAGATTAATCATCTCCAAATAGCTTTGAATGTGCAACTGACCCTTGGAAACCATTAACCTGGTCTCTGCATGTAGGTTTCCTAGCTAGATTCTGAGCTAATGACAGTTAATTGATATCCTGGTCTTCCATATGATGATTGGGTATGTTTTTGCTCAAATCTGGAGATTGAATCTCTGAAAACCTATAAAGAACGGTTGCAGGAACTGGATATGTCTAGTTTGATGAAAAGAAGGACTAGGGGAGACAGGATAGCAGTGTTCCAATATCTCAGGGGCTGCCCCAAAGAAGAGGGAGTCAAACTATTCTCCAAAGCACCTGAAGGCAGGAGAAGAAGCAATGGGTGGAAACTAATCAAGGAGAGAAGCAACTTAGAACTAAGGAGAAATTTCCTGACAGTGAGAACAATTAACCAGTGGAACAAATCACCATCAGAAGTTGTAAATGCTCCAACACTGGAAGTTTTTAAGAAGATATTGGATAACCATTTGTCTGAAGTGGTGTAGCGTTTCCTGCCTGGGCAAGGGGTTGAACTAGAAGATCTCTAAGGTCCCTTCAAACTCTGTTATTCTAAAAATGTCCTCTGGACTTGAACTGTCAACCAGAGCTTAAATACCAATTTTTGAACCCGATAAACTCCAGTCAGGATGAAGAAATGGAAGTATTCTTATTAAATGACCAACACCCAGGTGTTTTGAATCCAATGGCCAAATATTGACTGCTAGTCTTGCTTGAATCCTTCTGTGAATTGTTAACTTTATAGGATTTCTTCCTTTTATAGATGTTTCTAATGCCACTTTTTACATGAATTAATGGTGTACTGTATTTTTACATTTTATGACGAGAGAGAGATTAGACAGATGACAGATGGTCTGATAGATAATAGATGATCCATAGAAATAGAGATAGATGGATACATAGATAGATATTATAGAGAGAGAGGGAGATTGAAGAAAGATTAGAGATAGATAGATGATATATATGTATGTATGTATGTATGTATGTATGTATGTATGTATGGGGAGATAGGTAGAAGAAAGATAGAGAGATAGATGATAGATAGATAGAAGTAGAGATAGAAAAATAGATAGATAGGTGATAGATAGGTAGGTAGGTAGGTAGGTAGATAGATAGATAGATAGATAGATAGATAGATAGATAGATAGATAGAGTGTATAGGATTGAAATGTCCCATCCACCTAATCCTAAATTCATATCAGCTGGAGGACTGTTTAGAATTATTGGAAGAACCTCTATGATCCCATATCCTCCCAAATCTGCTAGCATTACTATTAAAAAACCAAGGCACTTTCATTTCGAATTGAGAAGATTTCATGTGTGAATTTGATGTAACACCCATGGAGGGAATCCAAAACCCAATGAAACTTCTTGATATCCCCAAGAGAATCAGACCTGATATTTTTCCCCCATTAAATGGGGTTAACTGTGTGAAATAGGATTTTGGAAAGAGACCATTTCCCCCCCAAGATAGGAAAGCTTATACGACTCCTTATTCTTCATAAATTTGATGAAACAGTCACACAAATGAAATAGATCCATCTTTATTAACGTGCTGACAGTAGAATCTAACAGATCAAAGAGGAGGGGATTGATTTGAAGGACGGAAGCATGGAGGGGATACAAAGAGTGTAACTACTTGGTATAGGAAGAGACCTTCCTTGATCAAGCTCAACTTAGGAAAGAATGAATGAGAAAAGGGACTCTTTCCTCCTGTCTGTGGTCAGGAGAAGGCTCGTGACGGAGTTAACAACTTCCAGATCCCGTAAGAGCCTTTGTAAAGGTATTTCCATTATGTATCACTTCACAGACGTACGTATGGTCTCCATAGTCGGAATCACTCCTGGTCAGGTAACTGCTGGCAAGGTATTTGTCACCCTGCTTGGTGGCTTTGGTTGTCTCCACTCCAGAGGTGGTCTCTGTACCATCAACCTTCCATTTCAGGGTGAAAGCAGGTGGGTGAAAGCCACTTAGGAGACATACCAGAGTGGCCTTCTTCTGGGTTTTGATCTCTTGCTCAGAAGGAGCAAAGACCTGCACCGAAGGAGATACTGGATCCTGACCTGGAAGAAAAGAAGATCTCATGAGGTTCTACACAGCATCTTAAAACTTCAACGCAGCATTAAAAGAGTAACTAGATGGATAAATGTATAGATCGTTTTCCTCATCAAGACTATGGGGGAGGGAGTGGGAAAAATATCAAGGCAAAATTTCTCAAAATAGTACATTACTAAGTTGGTAAGAATCATACGGCCCACTTCTTAAGGGAGAGAAAAACATTATTAAAAAAGCTAGAGGAGAGGTTTGGAGGACTTCCTTTGCATTCAGAAGGTAATCCTAACACCACAGGTGGCTAATATATAGAATGGACAAAAGAGATTCCTACTGTTTGGTCTTGGTGTCTAAACAAAGTTTTGATTTGATATGATTTGATCTCCCATTGTAGCAGTCTCCCCAGAATTCTTGTAGTTAGTTCTATGAACCAGAAATTCTTTACATCAGAGTGAGATTTCTTGCATGGCCGCCCCTAGAAATATCTCCATGTATCTGCAGCAGGAGAGTTACTACTTAAAATTATTCTTCTTAGAAAAACATTTTGATTATCTTATTTTTCTTTGCATTTTGTAGAAGACCAAGGAGGCTGTATCAAGAGAACATCTGGGCAACAGCATGCCTTAAGAAGTACAGCTTGCAAATAACTTTATTATGCCAATTATCAATTGGATTTGTTTAATTAATTCTTTCTTGTCTACCAGGACAGGAAGAAGATGAGAAACTAAGTGCCTTCTGTATATTCATATCACCTACTCCCATGTTCGTTTCTCTCTCTACATGTCTGAGTTTCAGAGAGAGGAAGAGAAATAAATTATTTTTAGTTCCTGAATGAAGTTGATGTTTCCTTCTTCATGTAGGAATAATCGACCACATGAACAGAAACATGAATCCTTCCACTACAAAACACATTTTTATTGCACAAAAGAATTAAATGGCAGAAACAGAGTTGAGTTTCATGGAATTTATATCACTCTTTGAAGTCAAACCAACTCTCCAGGAACATTCAAACTCAATTGTTTAAATGTTTAGCGTTGAGTTTCATGTCCACACTACTTTCTAAGAGCAGTTAAACTCAATGCCAAAGAAAATGTGGTCCAATCTCCTAACTCAGATTTCTTTTGTGGAGAACGTCTTAAAGATCCCCAATTATGTCAGATGCCAACTTGGAAGAGTGATGATTTGAAAACTCATTCTGCATTGGTTCCCAGGGCCAAATATTGAAGTAACATTCAGCATTTCTTCTGAGCATTACTTATTCCAAGACATTGAATTAAAGAATGCATGCATGCCACAAGAAACATTTCTTGCAGATGTCCCTCACAAAGTCATCTTATTCTTTATAAAAGGTTAGTCATTTTTCCCCACTCAGTTAATTCATTCTTTAAGGGACCTATCTCAAGTTAACCTCTGAAAGAAATATTTAGGATTTAAATTCTTTCATCAGTTGTTTAACACACACAGGAGAAAAATAGCAAAACTCTGAACATCTCCAAAAGAGATAACATGAAAGGTTTTAGTTCTTTCCTCGCATACTATGCTACTTATTTGTGTAAAATAATTGGAATTGAAGTCTTATCCCAGTTTCTAAATTTTGAGGAGACTAAACAAGAATTATTGTTCAATACAAAGTAGTTGATATGATCAGTTTGGACAAAATAGGAGAAGACAATTTGACCATACCTCCCTATATCTTCCTGAAACGAAAGTTGGAAACCCAACACATTGGTGAGATACCACTTCTGTTTCCTTCACAATCATACCACATTCATTTACCCCTCTGAAGGTTCTTTAGGAAAGGATCCCCTCCTCCAACGGAGAAATGCAAGTTCATTCACAGATCCATTTCTGCAAATTTGATCCATTGAGAAATGGTCCCTTCTGAACCTATGGTTGTGGCTATCCACTCCACTTATCCGGTCAATCTAAGAGATGCTTATATCATTATAACATTTCCCCAGGTTGTGTCTGAATCTGAATATTTTTGCAAAGCTGGAAGTGCATCATTTGGACAACCGCCTCTATAACTCTAAATCTAACCCTAGATTTAGTAGTAGATCATGTGGCTGATTCCTTTTCGATCAAAGAGAAATCACAGCACAGAGTCCATTGGAAGTAAGTGGCTACAAAAAACTTGAATAAATAAGCAAAACAAGAGAAAAAGAAGAAGGAAACATCAGGATTTTTAGCAAAGATTGAACTCCTTGCATTGACTGATTTGGCCGTTGGAATGAATGATGAATGGTTGATCAGACATCCCAACATTTTAATGTAATTTTGATGACCGCAGAGTAAAATCTCCGTCTTGTCTTTTTCAGAAGATGGAGATTTTTTTTAAACCAAATGATAAAGCAAAGGATCAGATTGACAATGTATCCTATTTTGGCTTCCTTAAATCCACTTGGAACATCTAAACACAGAGTCATAAAATCAGACTTTCAGCCAATCCCATTCAGTTCCATTGAAGAGAACACAATACAGATTCATCTTTTAATCCACAGGAAAATTATGCCTGAGGATAAAAATAGCCGCCAGTGAGATTTCTCAAGATCTCATTGAACCTGGTCATGAAAATCAAAGTGTCTCTGCGAACAGGGAAGATGAAATCATAAGGATTCGAATCTACCTGTCCTGACCTGGGCTAAATGTTCAGTTTTCATTGAAAAAGAAACCGATCATCATTGTTGAATCAAAAACAACCCTAAAATCAAAGTGCATGGAGTCAAAGTAAGGAAAGAAGAGGAAAAAGAGGAAAAAATGAAAATATTACATGTGGAAAGAAAGATTTGGGATCAATTCATTGACTTACCTGTGACGATTAGCTGGGTTCCTCCTCCGAACACCCACCACAGTGATACATGGCTATACAAAAACCTTCTCTCTCTTGATGTTCTTCAGATAGAGCAACAGGTGGTGTCCTTAACAAGGTTGTTTCAAGTTCCTTAAATCCCATGGAATGCATTTTGGGAAAGAAAAACCCCAATGATCCATTTTCAGAGTCGTCAAAGAAGGACCTGTTGGTGATTGAGAAAGATCTCAGGTCCTTCGAGAACTTCCATTCTGGAAGCGATTCCTTTCTGGATACAAACAGATGGTAGATGAGAACTTTTATTCCTTCTAGATTAGGTGAAAAACACTCAGATGTCTGCAGCTTTGGCAGTTTATATAATAAATAAACTATGTTTAAGAAGTGTGACAGGTTACTGAAGTTTTGTCTATGCTCTTATTGTTTCTGATGAATTTAACCCAATGCACTGGATCTGTTCTTGAAATTCAGCTTGATCACTGTATTATGATTTTTGTAGTCCACCATTAAGAATAGTAATAGATCCTTCAGAAAATGGACCTCCAGGAAGTGACCCTTATCTGATTCTGACTTCTTCTGACTATAAATATCCTTGAGGTTGAAAGCTCAGTGAATGATGTGGGATAGATAGCTTTATATGTCTCAGGATACCTTATATGAAGAACACTTCCAAGAAGGTCCTGGACCATGGGATATGCCTGCTTCTATTCAGGTCTTCCAGTTGAATTCTTAAGAAGGACAATTTTTCTGGAAGACTAGGAATTCTCTGCATGCTTATCTGCAGGTTTCCTTAACCGTAAATATAAGTGCGTTGTGTCAAGATTTTGCCTGGAGTGGAGATTTGGAATGATTTAGGGTAGTTTTGCGATGGCCTTTAGAATGTAGACTTTCATGGAAATTTCAGTAGCTTGTAAAATACATTTTGACATATGGAGACCTATGAGTCACATGGCTCTGATCCAGGGTTTTTTTTCCCCCTTGAGTGAGCCAACTATTGAGGCTCTGCAATTAAGTCCTAAAATTCATAGATTTTAAAAGATTCTGGGTTGTCTAGGTAGTTCCTAAATATCGACCCATGGTGCTTTCATGCACAATGCTCCATTGTGGAATTGGGATGTTATTCTTGTGGCCTGACAATGGCTAGTGGAGCCGGTGGCAGACTCAGACAGTGAGGAGGTTGGGGAGGAACATGGGCCAGTCCTGGAGTCTGGGGAAGTCTCTGATGATGGGACAGGGACGGGATAGGGACACTATCTGCTAAGATCTCCGATCGTCTTCCAGGGATTTTTTTCCTGAATGCAATTTTTGAGTCAGTGATTCATAGATCTGAAAAGAATTTGGAGGCCTACGTGGATCCTGATTTTCCCAGTTGCAATGTAGGGCTGTGAAAGTTGGACTATAAGGAAGGCTGAGCGCCAAAGAATCAAAGCCTTTGAACTCTGATGCTGGAAAAGACTCCTGTGAGTCCCTTGGACTGCATGGTGATCAAACCGGTCAGTCCTGGAGGAGATCAACCCTGACTGCTCTTTAGAAGGCCAGGTCCTGAAGAGGAAACTCAAATACTTTGGCCACCTAAGGAGAAGGAAGGACTCCCTGGAGAAGAGCCTCATGCTGGGAACGATGGAGGGCAAAAGAAGAAGAAGGGGACGGCAGAGAACGAGGTGGCCGGATGGAGTCACTGAAGAAGTCGGCGTGAGCTTAAATGGACTTCAGAGGATGGTAGAGGACAGGAAGGCCTGGAGGAACATTGTCCATAGAGTCGCGATGAGTCAGATACAACTTCGCAACTAACAACAAGGTGGATCCTTGAAACCCATCCATGATGCTTCCCCTGTCTGCTATTTCTTATGTTGTCCTTGTCCAACAAGGAATTAACTCAGTCCAATGACAAAATAAACATCTCGTGAAGGGCTTAACCGGGTTCAACCAGACCAATGGATATTAATCATCTCCAAATAGTTTTGAAATTGCAAGCAATCCATATGAAACAATTAAACCCGCCTTTGCATGTAGGTTTCCTAGCTAGATTCTGGTCTGGTGACAGCTGGTCTTTTTGTCCATCTTCCATATGATGAATTGAATATGTATTTGCTCAAACCTAGAGGTGGAGTCCACTTCATTCATTCAATCATTATTTATTTATCAGCTTTATTGGTCAGCTATTTCAACACAGGGTGCTTTAAAAATGCCCTCTGTACTTGAACTGTCAATCAAAGCTAAAACACCCATTCCTGAATTGGATCAACTCTTGGGTCATTGTTGATGAAAGGATGGAAGTACTCTTATTAAATGACCAATACCCAGGTATTTTGAAGCCAATGGCCAGATATTTCCTTCTAGCCTGCTTGGTTCCTTCCACGAATTGTCAACTTTAGAAGATTTCTTCCTTTTATATATGTTCATAATGCCAATTTTTGCATGAATTAATGGTACGGTGTATTTTTACACTTGGTGGCTTGAGAGATAGTAGTTCAACCATATATTTACTCTATATCAATTGGCGAATGAGGAGTTATTGGAAGGGACATGGTGATCTCATAGATCCCAAAATCTGTTGGCATTAATACTAAAGAACAAGGCATTTTCATTTCAAACTTGAGAAGAATTCATGTGTGAATGTATTGCAATACCAATGTAGGGATCCAAAACCAGATGATGCTTCTTGATATCCCCAACAGAATCTGACCTAGATTGGAGGGGTTTTTTTGTAACTGGTATTTTTCCCTTTTATATATGTCACTTTTGGCTTGAATTAATAGTGTGCTGTATTTTTACACTTTGTGACATGCGATATAGTAGATAGATAGATAGATAGATAGATAGATAGATAGATAGATAGATAGATAGATGATAGATAATAAATAGGTAGCAGAGGTGGGTTTCAGCAGGTTCTGACCAGTTCTGAAGAACCGGTAGTGGAAATTTTGAATAGTTTGGAGAATCGGTAAATACCACCTCTGACTGGCCCCTCCGCCATCTATTCTCTGCTTCCCGAGTCCCAGCTGATCAGGAGGAAATGGGGATTTTGAAGTAACTTTCCCCTGGATTGTGGAGGGAATGGAGATTTTACACTATCCTTCCCCTGTCGTACCCACCAAGCCATGCCCACCAAGCCATGCCAAGCCCACCAAACCACACCCACAGAACCGGTAGTAAAAAAATTTGAAACCCACCACTGATAGGTAAGTAGGTAGGTAGGTAGATGATAGATAGATGATAGACAGGCAGACAGATAAATAGATAGCTAGATAGATGGATGATAGATGGATAGATGGATAGATGGATGGATGGATGGATAGATAGATAGATAGATAGATAGATAGAGTATAAGACTGAGATGTCCAATTCCATCCAATCCTATATTGATATCTGCTGGAGGGCTCTTTAGAATTATTGAAAGAACCTCTATCATCCCATATCTTTCCAAAACTCCTAGCATTACGACTAAAGAAGAAGGCATTTTTATTTCAAAGTTGAGAACAATTCATGTATCAATTTGATGTAATACCCATGCAGGGAATCCAAAGCCCGATGATGCTTCTTGATATCCCCAACAGAATCTTACCTAGATTGGAGGGTTTTTTTTGTAACTGGTATTTTTCCCTTTTATATATGTCACTTTTGGCTTGAATTAATAGTGTGCTGTATTTTTACACTTTGTGACATGCGATATAGTAGATAGATAGATAGATAGATAGATAGATAGATAGATAGATAGATAGATAGATAGATAGATGATAGATAATAAATAGGTAGCAGAGGTGGGTTTCAGCAGGTTCTGACCAGTTCTGAAGAACCGGTAGTGGAAATTTTGAATAGTTTGGAGAATCGGTAAATACCACCTCTGACTGGCCCCTCCGCCATCTATTCTCTGCTTCCCGAGTCCCAGCTGATCAGGAGGAAATGGGGATTTTGAAGTAACTTTCCCCTGGATTGTGGAGGGAATGGAGATTTTACAGTATCCTTCCCCTGTCATACCCACCAAGCCATGCCCACCAAGCCATGCCAAGCCCACCAAACCACACCCACAGAACCGGTAGTAAAAAAATTTGAAACCCACCACTGATAGGTAAGTAGGTAGGTAGGTAGATGATAGATAGATGATAGACAGGCAGACAGATAAATAGATAGCTAGATAGATGGATGATAGATGGATAGATGGATAGATGGATGGATGGATGGATAGATAGATAGATAGATAGATAGATAGATAGATAGATAGATAGATAGAGTATAAGACTGAGATGTCCAATTCCATCCAATCCTATATTGATATCTGCTGGAGGGCTCTTTAGAATTATTGAAAGAACCTCTATCATTCCATATCTTTCCAAAACTCCTAGCATTACGACTAAAGAAGAAGGCATTTTTATTTCAAAGTTGAGAACAATTCATGTATCAATTTGATGTAATACCCATGCAGGGAATCCAAAGCCCGATGATGCTTCTTGATATATCCAAGAGAATCAACCTATTCCCCCCCCCATTGAATGTGGTTAATTGTGTGAAATAGGATCTTGGGAACAGACCACTTTTCCCTCCAAGATAGGAAAGCTTATATTGTTTGGTATTCTTCATAAATTTGCTAAAGACACTCACAGAAATGAAATACATCCATCTTTATTAATATGCTGACAGTAGAATCTAATACTAGAATCAAAAGGTGGGGGGGGATCGATTTCAAGGGCGAAGGCATGGAGGGGCTACAAAGGGTGTAACTACATGGGTTAGAAAGAGATATTATTGATCAAACTAAGTTTAGGAAAGAATGAACGAGAGCCCAGGAGAAGGGACTCATTTCTCCTTCCTGATGGCAGGAAAGGAATTCATGTTAGAGTTAACAACTTCCAGATTTCGACACAGACTTTGCAATGGTCTTACTGTCATGTGTCACTTCACAGGTGACAGCCTTATGGTCTCGATACTCAGCCTCAGTCATTTTCATGTAACTGCTGGCAAGATATTTCCCATCTTGTTTGCTGGCTTTGGTGGTCTCCACTTCAGAGGTTATCACTTTACCATCGACCTTCCATTGCAATTCGAATGCAGGAGGGTAAAATTCGGTTAGGAGACACACAAATGTATATGGGTTCGGATTTCTGACCTCTTCCTGGGAAGGAGCAAACACTTGCACCGAAGGCGATACGTTGGTCTGACCTGGAAGAGAGGAAGATCTCATGAAGTTCCACACTGAATCTTAAGACTGAAATATAACATGGACCGAGTAACAAGACCAGTACTGGGTTTCAAATCCCCGTCGCTACCAGTTCGCTTGTGGGCTTGCGCACAATGCTTCTGCACATGCGCAGAAGTGTCCGGGCGGGTGGGCGGAGCCTCCTGCTGCCCGATCTTGGGCGAACTGGTAGCAACCCACCACTGACAAGACTGATAACATTGATACCCTGTTTCCCCCAAAATAAGACATCCCCTGATAATAAGCCCAATCAGGCTTTTGAGCGCATGGCAATAAGGCCAAGCGCTTATTTCAGGGTTCAAAAAAAATATAAGACAGCGTCTTATTTTTGGGGAAACACAGTAGATAGATAGATAGATAGATAGATAGATAGATAGATAGATAGAGAGATAGATACCCTGTTTCCCCCAAAATAAGACACCCCCTGATAATAAGCTCATTCAGGCTTTTGAGCGCATAGCAATAAGGCCAAGCGCTTATTTCAGGGTTCAAAAAAAATATAAGACAGGGTCTTATTTTCAGGGAAACATAGTAGATAGATAGATAGATAGATAGATAGATAGATAGATAGATAGATACCCTGTTTTCCCCAAAATAGGACACCCCCTGATAATAAGCCCAATTGGGCTTTTGAGCCCATGGGAATAAGGCCAGGTTCAAAAAAATATAAGACAGGGTCTTATTTTCGGGGAAACCAGGTAGATAGTCCTTGGTTTTTAACCATTTATTTAGTGATAGTTCAAACAGCACTAAAAAAAGCGACTTACGACCTTTGTCACACTTACAACCCTTACAGCATGCCCCCCATGGTCATGTGATCAAAAGGTTGCGATTGTCAGATATGGCTTGGCAATTGAATAACACCGATTATAATCAGTGAACAAAAGAGATTTCTCTTTGTTGTTGGTGTCGGGACCGAAATAAAATTTTGATTTGATATGATTTGATCTCCCATTCTTAGTCTTCCAACAATTCTTGTAGTTACTTCTAAGGACTCTAACAGAATAACAGAGTTGGAAGGGACCTTGGAGGTCTTCTAGTCCAACCCCCTGCTTAGGCAGGAAGCCCTACACCACTTCAGACAAACGGTTATCCAACCTCTTCCTAAAAATTTCCAGTGTTGGAGCATTCACAACTTCTGGAGGCAAGTTGTTCCACTGGTTAATTGTTCCAACTGTCAGGAAATTTCTCCTTAGTTCTAAGTTGCTTCTCTCTTTGATTAGATTCCACCCATTGCTTCTTGTCTTTCCTTCAGGTGCTTTGGAGAATAGCTTGACTCCCTCTTCTTTGGGGCAGCCCCTGAGATCTTGGAACACTGCTATCCTGTCACCCCTAGTCCTTCTTTTCATCAAACTACAGATACCCAGTTCCAGCAACCATTCTTCATATGTTGTGAAGTGGTTTGCCCTTGCTGCCTTCCTAGGCTGAAAGAGAAGGACTCGACCAAGCTCTCGCTCAGCTGACTTTGTGCCTAAAGTAGGGCTAGAACTTACAACCCCTCTCTCTGCACCCTAGGAAGAAGCAGGCAAGCAAACCACTTGCCAAGAAAACTTACAGGATTTGTCCAGGTATTGTCTCAAAGGTCCCACAAATAAAACCATATTTCGAACAATCTAATGTAACAGCCACTTTTAAAGACACATTTCAAATGATAAACGTGGTTGATTTGGGAAGGCTTGAAAGAAAAGCTGTCTCAAAATTCAGATCTGGCCCTTCTGATATCAATTCTAAACAATAACTGCAAAGTATCCAGAAGTGTCTCTTTTAAGTAACCTATAACTATCAAGGGGACTGGAAGCTAAAACATATGAATAACGGTTGTAGGAACTGAGTATGTCTATGGTAACTTAATGAAAAGAAGGACTAGGAGAGACATGATAGCAGCCTTCCAATATCTCAGGGGCTGCCCCAAAGAAGATGGAGTCAAGCTATTTTCCAAAGCACCTGAATGCCAGACAAGAAGCAATAGATGGAAACTCATCAAGGAGAGAATCAACCTGGAACTAAGGCGAAATTTCATGACAGTTAATAAACTGATACATGGAACATAATACTAACGTATCAAGCATCATATCACTCAATAATCAAGGAAGCAACTGAAGTTACATAATTTTGGACCTGTCCAGTTTCAACTCCGTAATGAATGAAAAGGGGATATAAATATATTCCAATACCACAAATAATCTAGAAAAGATCTGTATAAAACTTTGCATTCCTTTGCTAGTTTGTAATGGGTTGTAAAATCAGCAATCTGAAGTGTGGTGGTTAAGAATGATAAAAGGGGTGTGATAGCTATAGAAGAGAAGAGAAGAGAAGAGAAGAGAAGAGAAGAGAAGAGAAGAGAAGAGAAGAGAAGAAGAGAAAAATGGAATGGAATGGAATGGAATGGAATGGAATGGAATGGAATAGAATAGAATAGAATAGAATAGAATAGAATAGAATAGAATAGAATAGAATAGAATAGAATAGAATTCTTTATTGGCCAAGTGTGATTGGACACACAAGGAATATGTCTTGGTGCATACGCTCTCGGAGTACATAAAAGAAAAGATATATTTGTCAAGAATCATAAGGTACAACACCTAATGAGAGTCATAGGGAAACAGTCAATATAAACCTTAAGGATACTAACAACAGGTTACAGTCATACAGTACAGGTTACAATAGATTAAATATCTTTCTCATCCAATGTTCCAGATTTAATTAAACGCTTGGGAGACCCCTGACTGATTCTGAGTTTCTTTCTTTCTTTCTTTCTTTTTAAAGCAAAGGAATTGGTTACCTATCTCAGACAAGAAGAAAGCAAATATTTTCCCTAATGGGGTTGAGAGTGGATTTGAGCATGGAGAATAGGTATCAAAATTCTGAGCAACACTATTGACCATCAATCAATAAGAAAATCTCTGTTATTCTTTTAACTGTGTACTTTATTATCACTTGCCCAGTCATACTTCCCTCACCTTTTATCTATGGATTTGTTTTTTTTTAAAAAAAGCAAAATAAAGGTAAAATTAAAACAACACAAAAAAAGAAACAGAGACATTCAACCTGATTTTAGCCCTTTGAAGTTCGAGAGTTTGTAATTTTGGTGTGCAGTTTTCAAATTCTCCAGCTTCAAATTCTCCTATGCTTCATTTTATCTCTTAGTGAAATTTCACCTCTATTTGTAAAAAAAATCCCTTTCCATTTACAAAATAAAACAAACGTGAAGATTAATTTTTTAAGATGATTTTTTAAAGAAAAGGATCCGAAGGTTTTGCTTAGGCTTGGTGAATGACCAAGCAATGCATCCTTTTCAATATATTTTGATTTATTGTTAGGTACTAATATTATGTAAATAAAGTTTTCAGATGATTTTTAAGATGTTATACTTCAGACCCATAAACTATAATGTTAGTCACAGATCCTAACTATTTTTTTTTTAAAAAAAGAATGATTAATGCTGGACTTAACCAAATACAACCACAATACTTGTCTAAGACTTATTTTGATAGGGGAAAAAAAATCTATTTTGAATTTCAAAGTTTATCATCAACCTTCCCACATTTCTTGTCTTTCATTCAGATCTGTAGAAATTAGCAGGAATCTTTGTGATTAGATAAAGAAATCTAAACAATCAAGCAAGAGAAAAATTGAATTTTTTAAAGGTTACAAGTTCTATTTTCCTATTTTTTCCCCCCAAAACTGTCTCTGCCTTTTGCCTTAAAATCAGCATGGGAACTCACATTTCTAATGTCTTGCAACACACAACACATACAAACCCAAAGAGATCAAAAAGATCTGATACACTTTTCCTATTTTTCTTACCCTGACTTCTTTAAGTATACTTCACCACATTTATTTTTTGAACAATCCATCCATGATTTGATAGGATCCTATTTTTAAATGATCTATGAGCTGAATCAACTATGTGCAAACCCCCCAAGATACTGAAGATTCGCATAACATTTTGACATAATAACCATTACCTGGATTTTGTTTTCCTGAAAAGGACAGTGAGAAATAAACTATTAAACACAACAAGGACAGATTATCATGCTTTTTAGGGGACAAAGACGTAATACCTTGGAGAAAAAAAGGACCACGAAAACAAAATGTTAGGAATACAAATCATCGGATCACTTGAATAATTACTCCTCTCTTAGTAAACATGACTTAATCCAACTAAGAGCATATTATACTTCAGACTTAAATCAGCTCAAAAAAGACCAAAAAAAACCCCCTTCATATTTCATGTATTTAAGAGTTCTTTATACAACATGAAAGACAAAAGCATTTTTAAAAAATGTGACCTGCTAAGCTATATTGAAGATGCTTCATTTGAGACTGAGACTGGTTGGTGAGGGAAAAAAAACACAAATTAAAATAAAAAACAGTTGGAAAACAATTGTATTGGCATTTTAAAGAGACTTACCTGAGACTGACAGTTCCGTTCCACTGCCGAAGACATACACACAGTGAGTAATGGCCATACAAAAATATTTCTTGTAGCAGTTTACTTCTGCTTTCTTAGACCTTAGATTTTATTTCGGAGGTTTTATCGCTCACTTTGTACGGAATATGGACTTCGCCAATTTTTTGATTCAAAATTTGTATTAGTTTATCAAAGTATAATATAAACACAAGGGAAAATAAAAGTGTAGGGCAAGAGAGAAAAAAGCATTTGACTCCTTTTGGTGCAGTAGGTTAAGATTATACCATCAAACGTCAGCTTTTTATATTTATACAACAATATAAACAAACAAAGCTATCAAATCAGCAAAACCCACAATCAAAGTTTTATTTCTTTGCACCTCAGGCAAAAAGTCCAGAAGTGGTTTCCAATTAGAAACAAAGGCAATTGTGTTTTTTCCCTTAATCGGAGCAGTCAATTTAGCTATCTCTGCTAAACTCCATCAACTTTTGCGACTTGGTACTTTTGAGTTGGATCACCCTTGCATCTCCCAAGTTCTTTTAACAAAGCCATAATTTGCTTTGCAACGCTTACTCGTTGGACAGACCCAATTATATCTCCACATTTTTCTGAACTAGCAGGCAACTAGGTAGCATATTCTATTGAAGGTCTTCACAAATTTTTCCACTAAGGGAATCCTTGCAAAGACAAGGAACACTCTGCTCCAAATGTAATCTGTTTCCATGAAATTCCACAAATTCCACATTCTTTTCAACCCATCATCAACCCTGCTCTCTCCCATTCTCAAATATTTCGGTCATTGAATCCAAATTCTTTATGCTATCTGTATTTTGTCTATTTGAGAGTTCTTTATACAACATGAAAGACAAAATCAAAGCATTTTTTAAAATGTGACCTGCTAAACTATACTGAAGATGCTTCATTTGAGACTGAGACTGTTCAGTGAGAAAAAAACCCCAACACAAATTAAAATCAAAAACAGTTAGAAAACAATTGTATCGGCATTTTAAAGAAACTTACCTGTGACTGTCACATAGGTTCCACCCCCGAAGATTAACACACAGTGAGTTCAAAATTTGTATTAGTTTATCAAAGTATGATATAAACACAAGCGAAGATAAAAATGTAGAGCAAGAGAGAGAAAAGCATTTGACTCCTTTTGGTGCAGTAGGTTAAGATAATACCATCAAACCTCAGCTTTTTATGTTTATACAACAATATAAACCAGCCATTTCTATAACAAACAACGCTATCTAATCAGCAAAACCCACAGTCAAAATACAAGATTGGATGATGTGCAGAAACCTGGTCCATAGAATCACCCAAAGTTGGACATGACTGAATGGATAACATCTTCATCATATCATCATCATCATCATCATCATCATCATCATCATCATCATCACCATCATCATCATCATCATCATCATCATCATCACTGAGTCTGTCATCTGCATCTCTATAACTGTCTGGTTTTGTTCTGCAACCCAACAAGACAGACACAGACTTCAGAGGATAATTAGAACTGCAGAAAAAACAATGGCTACCAACCTGCCTTCCATGGAGGACCTGTATACTGCACGAGTCAAAAAGAGGGCTGTGAAAATATTTACAGACCCCTCGCATCCTGGACATAAACTGTTTCAACTCCTACCCTCAAAATGACACTATAGAGCACTGCACACCAGAACAACTAGACACAAGGACAGTTTTCCCCCGAACGCCATCACTCTGCTAAACAAATAATTCCCTCAACACTGTCAAACTATTCACTAGGACTGTATTACTATTATTCTTCTCATCGTTCCTATCACCCATCTCCTCCCACTTATGACTGTATGACTGTAACTTTGTTGCTGGTATCCTTACGATTTATATTGATTGTTTCCTAGTATGATTTGATTGCTTATTTGTACCCTAAGGCTATCATTAAGTGTTGTACCTTATGATTCTTGATGAACGTATCTTTTCTTTTATGTACACTGAGAGCATATGCCCCGAAGTCCAATCACACTTGACCAACAAAGAATTCTATTCTATTCTATTCTATTCTATTCTATTCTATTCTATTCTATTCTATTCTATTCTATTCTATTCTATTCTATTCTATTCTATTCTATTCTATTCTCCTCCTCCTCTGATCCAGAAACATTTGGAAAACAATTGTGTCTGCATTTTAAAGAGTGTCTGTCACTCAAGTCCCTTTGCCATCCAGCAAGTAAAGACCATACAACAATACTGTATAATAATCTATTTCCACAAATGTCCACGAATTCCACACTTTGCAACCCGTCATTGACGTTGGCTCTTCCATTCTCAAATATTTGCTGAATAGGAATTGATTTTAGGAATAAAATGATGTCGCTGGTTCCTTAAATATCATCACAGGTGAATAATCTAGACTATAACAATTAATCATCACAACAGAAGAGAGATTAAAGCCATAGGGAAACCATTTCCCTTCCTACCTGAATTCCAGGCCCATCACAAACTTTCTTGGATGTTTTCAATCAGGAGAATTAAGGTGGTCTCATCCAGGACTCTACCTGTCTTGTATCATCCAGTACCATTCCACATACTTTACCAAAAAGAAGGGTTTCCTTTGTAGCATCTTCGACAGATTAATGGTAGAAGCACAGAAGAAGACGTTGAAATAAACCTTATCCATTCTGTTCCAGTGGAACTTACATACGAAAACCTTTTTATTTATAGAAATAGTGGACATGTTGAATAGATTCCTGGACATTAATCCACAAACACAACGCAATTCTCTTTTGATGCAGGGAAATGGTGTTTTTTTCCCTAGAAGAGGTCTTGATTGGGAAAAATTATAATCCGTTTAGAGCTTGGTTTTTCTCCTTTTTCCAAAGGCAGGTTCTTTTATCTCCAAAATGGCAATATCCACAAAGAAGAGATTTTAAGAAAGAGCAAGGGAGGCCCAATATATCCAGAAGTATGATAGAGCTTTAGGGAAGAAAAAAGCAAAGAAAGAAAATTGCAATCTGAAACTGCTTTAAATATGAAAGGCATATTTAGTGACCAATTTGAGGAATAGAAAGAGAAACCAATCAAAAACCAGGTATGATGATAAACGTAGGCTCCTAAGCAGGAGTGATGTGTGACGTTTTGTTGTAGATCTAATAAAATCATCGATGAATCTCGGCAGGGCTTCATTCATGATTTACCTGAAAGGCATCAAACCTAAAAATAATGGCTTAAAAAAAAGAGAGGGGTAACCTGTTTGTATTCCTGTCACATTGTTAAGATATCCATTAGAAAAGAGATATTCAAAATGGCTTCCGTATGGCCAAGCAGCTCCATTTCCTGGCCATCCAGAAGATCCACAAGGCTTCCATGAAAATTACCACAGGAGGAGGAGGAGAAAGCTATGTGAGCGGTGTATTCACGTCAAGCCCAATCCAGTACGCAAGAAGCTTCAGTATTCTCTTCTCCACTTCTGAAGGCATCTGGTAAGCCTTCAGCAACCAACGTTCCTCAGATGCATCTGGCATTTCCGGAAACCACAGAGAACTGTTTTTCTTACCACATGACTTTGCATTTTATGTCCAACTGTCCTCAGGTGGGGAAGGAGGGAAGTTCTCCCTCTTCGTGGCCCAAACATTTGTCGGTGATGGACAGTTGGTGGCTAGAAAGGGAAAGCTGGGGAATTTTGGGTCGTTATTTGTGCACCCCACAAGCTGAAATAGAATAGAATAAAATAAAATAACAAGAGTTGGAAGGGATCTTGGAGGTCTTCTAGTGCAACCCCCTGTCTAGGCAGGAAACTCTACACCACTTCAGACAAATGGTTATCCAACATCTTCTTAAAAATCTTCCAGTGTTGGAGCATTCACAACTTCTGGAGGCAAGTCGTTCCACTGATTAATTGTTCTAACTGTCAGGAAATTTCTCCTTAGTTCTAGGTTGCTCCTCTCCTTGATTAGTTTCCACCCATTGCTTCTTGTTCTACCCTCAGGTGCTTTGGAGAATAGCTTGACTCCCTCTTCTTTGGGGCAGCCCCTGAGATATTGGAACCCTGCTATCATGTCACCACTAGCTCTTCTTCTCATTAAACTAAACATACCCAGTTCCTGCAACCGTTCTTCATATGTTTTAGCCTCCAGTCCCCTAATCATCTTTGTTGCTCTTCTCTGCACTCTTTCTAGAGTCTCCGCATCTTTTTTACATCGTGGTGACCAAAACTGAATGCAGTATTCCAAGTGTGGCCTTACCAAGGAATTGTAAAGTGGTATTAACATGTCACGTGATCTTGATTCTATCCCTCTGTTGATGCAGCCTAGAACTGTGTTGGCTTTTTTGGCAACTGCTGCACACGGCTGGCTCATATTTAAGTGGTTGTCCACTAGGACTCCAAGATCCCTCTCACAGTTACTAATATTGAGCGAGGTACCACATATATTGTACCTGTGCATTTGGTTTTTCTTGCCTAAATGTAGAACCTTCCTTTTTTTACCATTGAATTTCGTTTTGTTAGATAGCGTCCAATGTTCAAGTCTGTCAAGATCCTTCTGTATTTCAGGTTTCCTTAGATGTCTAAGGAGATTCTCAGTCATCCAGGTCATGGTTGTCCTAAAGGAGCTGAAGAAGCTTCTTGGATGAGAAGCAAAACGTCTTCAAAGAAAAACGAGAAAGTCCAGTTGCCTCTTGAAAAAGCACCTTTGAGATTTCCTTAGAGTTCAACGTTCATTGTTAAAACCAAAACTGGAGAAGATTCATTAAGCCATCAATGCAAAGTTCTGCTCAGGACAGGAAATTAGAATATTTCCATATTTGTACCATTCTGGAAAGCAAAAGAGAGAAAATTCCACCATTTTTACAATATAGGAATGCCCAAAGAGGATTTTTTTTGCTAATTTACTGATTTCATGGAAGACCAATCAATTCAGCTTGATCTGATTATATTTGCTAATATTTACAACAATTTGATTAAGATGTTATATATTAATATATATTAGAATAGAATAGAATAGAATAGAATAGAATAGAACAGAACAGAACAGAACAGAACAGAATAG